CTATTCTGACCTCTAAGAAGTCAATGGGAGATGTATAATGCGGTTCCTGCTATCAATAAATTCGAAAAGAGCACCAGAAACTATCTCATACAGCAAGCCCTAGGGTAACAAAACAGGTTGGTTTTGACCTTGGCGTGACCTTCATACCTGACCTTAGGTCAGTGTAATCTGCTCATTCAACCGTTGTGTTGCCCAAGTTTATTATTGTAAGCAAGTTGTACATCTAAATTTTTGATGCCAAACAATTCGCTATTCCATTTTTTACAGCTCTGCAATATTTGGCGCGGCTACGCCGCGCCGTTTGGAAACCATTCTGGAAAAACCTTCGGGGGAGGGGTCAATTTGACCCCCGTCCCCACCCGAGCACGTGTTAACCGGGATTCGTTTTGCCAAAGGCAACCCATCTTGCAGCAGTGCAGAGCGAGAGCCATGTTTTTGCATATGTCGTTTTTCTTAGTACTGCGCCTGTGATTGTGTACTTAAAAATTTGTCGCTTCTTATGTCTTGCCAACGCGCTACCATTGATATGGGTCATAGCACCGAAAAAGTTCCCTAAAGGTTTGCGTATTTTTGTGTTTCACTGACCTCAAATGTGTCATTAGTATTTGCACGATGGCGTCTGCTGATAAAACAGCAGGGAACAGTTTGCATGGAGTTCCGTACATGAAGTGGTACGCTTTTGCAGTGCGCATCCGTTGGAAACAGTTGCATGTAGCCTAGCAGTCGGCATTTGGTACTGAGCCCAGCTCCAACGACTTGCGCAGTGCATGACGTCATCGAGGCGCCATTATCCTGGCCACATTTCATAGTCGTAATTGAACGATCATTTTATTGCAGCTAAACCTGACTTCATGGTTTGACGGAGTAATTGGCGGCCTGGCCACATTGATGATGACAAAACGGAATGCCGCGCAAACGGGCAAAATAGCTAGCTGTTGTGGTAATCTGTCTATTTTGTTTGTTGATGTCGTGCTTGGTGCCTGCCAGCGTGGCATAAATTGTTCAGCCCACGCAATAGATTGAAATCCGCAGTAAAAATCCTTCTAATTATTCCAGCATCATGCTGATGACCCCGACGGAGCCTCCGTCATCGTATGCTGCCATGTTGGCGTGCTTGTGGTATTGGGCTTAATGGAGCAGCGCCGTTTTATCATGATCATCTGGTGTTAAATCGGTCAAATACCAACAGGCTTTTGATTTTTCTGAAAAAACCCGAGACCCCGAGAACAGAAACGAGTGGCATGTGAGGCAGCAGGCGAGTCCATGCGCACCACGCGCCACACGTGATACGGTCGGGTACGCGTCAGTCGCAAACGGCATCAGCAGTCCAGCCCACTGAGTCCGGCGGTCGGACACTAGGCGCGGTCGGGCAGTCGTCCTTTGTAAGGGACTCGCAACAGGAGCACAGCCAGCCAGCCGGTGTTTGTAGAGCCCGGCGGCCGGCCAGCTCCAGGCGCAGCAGGCCTCCGGCGGGGCGGCCGACCAGCCGGAGGCCTGGCCCGTATTTGCAACGTGAAATGGAAAAGAGCCGCTCCCGAAACTTCGACAGAGTCGCGTGCCGCACGCGCCGTAAGTAGCCGAGCTACACTGCTCGCGTGCTTCAGCCGGATATTTTCATCATATCGGCCACGACCTTTGCTTTCAATGCACTCAGTGCCCAGGTCCACTGCCGCTCACCAGCACACGTTTAACCCAGCCACCGCCCACCAACGACACTCCCGTGTTCTGACACACAACAATCAACAACAACAATAGCCTCGCCTGACGGGGTGGATAGCCAGGGGGAGCGGAGAAAACAGAGAGCATCTCGTATGCGTTACGATTTAAGGTTTTTGAATGGCACGCCAAACTTGTTGGAACACAAGAAAAATTACATGAAAATGCATGATGTCATACTTACATACACAGATCCATATAACGTAAATTGATCAAATATTGGTGGCAGAAAATAAGCTCTATTTCCTTTTTAACGTTACATTCGTTAAATTTCCATTTGAAACTATGACGATGAAGATTGTACAATGGGTATAACACTGACATCAAACACCATCCTAAACACTCCCCTGGGCACGCGGAAATCCACGGCTCCGCAAGTCTCCGGTAGCTTTGGAGAGAAGGCGTATTTTCCACCAAGAAACCCGAGCTGAATGCGGCATGAAAACGCGCGAAAGGGTCATTAGATTAAAGTATGCAATTCTTTCTACCAATCTACAGAGGGTCGCTACCAAATCACGGTGGGGGTGTTAAGCTAAGCAGGGTCTTTGGTTAGCCGTTGGATAGTTGTTCTGGTTTTGTATCAAAATAAGTACTTGTGTTTTTTGACATCTACCTTTTGTACAACTTTTGGTCATACAACAACAATGTTATCTACTTTGAAATGTTGTGTTGCGGCACTGTTGCAACTCCGCACGCCAACCCGTCCCCCTCTTCTTCAAGCAGGGTGTGCCGGCTCGGCGCCAGAGGGCAGCGATTGGCCCTGCTCATGTGCGCCGCCTCTTCCAGGCGACATGGTCATCAAGGACTCGGTGACGTCTGACGAGGGCAAGTACCGCTGCGCCGCCGAGAACGGCGAGGGCACCGTCTACTCGAACGACGCCATCGTCTACATCAGTGGTGAACACGGATGTGCAGCGACGCATGAGTGTCGCTCTTACACGGATGTATAACGGATGTGCGTCACTGATGACCCACCGTGTGCGCGTCTTGTGCGTGTATGCGTTTCTCGGCCGTGTCCCACAGCCGGGCTGAGATGATTCAGTTTGGCACGTCTGTCTGTCTCTCGGGATATACCTCTCATTATTGTCTATCTCGGGATGACCTTCTCCATATTATCTATCTCGGGATGACCTTTTCCATATTATCTATCTCGGGATGACCTTTGCATATTATCTATCTCGGGATGACCTTCTCCTTATCTATCTCGGGATGAACCCCTTATGATCGATCTCGGGATGACCTCCTCATTATCTATCTCGGGGTGATCTTCTCCTTATTATCTATCTCGGGATGACCTTCTCCTTATCTATCTCGGGATGACCCCCTTATTATCTATCTCGTGATGACCTCCTCATTATCTAACTCGGGGTGATCTTCTCACTATTATCTATCTCGAGATGACGTTCTCCTTATTTATCTCGGGATGACCTTCTCCTTATTATCTATCTCGGGATGACCTTCTCCTTATATATCTCGGGATGACCTCCTTATTATCTATCTCGGGGTGACCTTCTCCTTATTATCTGTCTCGGGATGACCTTCTCCTTATTATATAGGGTCGTCTTACAGTTGACCTTCTTCTTATTATCGAGGGAGGGTCGTCCTACAGTTCTGGATGTCATTTGCCCTGTGGGTACTTCCCGGACATCTGGGGCATGACCCCACATCCGGTTGTCTGGACGCCTGAGGAAGGGAGGGGAGGGGTGGGGGTAGGGGGAAGCGAGGGGAAGGGCTGCTGTCCGGCCGCGCAGCACCGGCCCTTTTTAGTCGTCTGGCCGGCCGCGGCCATCTCATAACGTCTTATGAGGACATGTTCGGAATGTGGCGCCACCACCGCAGCAATGGCAGCGCATGCACCGTGGCAGCGCATACCGTTTGCACCGTGTGCGGGTGGGCGGTGTGTGGGGCACACCGTGGGACGGCGCGTCGCGTCTCCGAACCGGACGGCTTCGGCGCGCTGTGAGTCCCCGCCCGTCGGCGCGCCCTCCTCAGGCCGGTGGCTGGCACCTCGCTGCTCCGCTCGCTCCGGATCCACTGGAACATAAATGGCCAAGGGTGGCGCGTCAACTGGCCGCGCGCCGCCGCCGGGCGGGATAATGCGCTGCAAGTTTAGCGAGCGCATGCCGGGCTCGGTGAGCCACCCCGGCCAGGTGTGGTGCCTACCTTTCGGGGCGTATTTGTCACGGCCGCAGCGGCCGAGTGCCGACTCGGTCACCGGGCCCGCTGATGGAAGGCCGGCTCGGTCACCGGGCCCGCTGATGGAAGGCCGACTCGGTCACCGGGCCCGCTGATGGAAGGCCGGCTCGGTCACCGGGCCCGCTGATGGAAGGCTGGCTCGGTCACCGGGCCCGCTGATGGAAGGCCGGCTCGGTCACCGGGCCCGCTGATGGAAGGCCGGCTCGGTCACCGGGCCCACTGATGGAAGGCCGGATCGGTCACCGGGCCCGCTAATGGAAGGCTGCTCGGTCACCGGGCCCGCTGATGGAAGGCCGGCTCGGTCACCGGGCCCACTGATGGAAGGCTGCTCGGTCACCGGGCCCACTGATGGAAGGCCGGCGAGCGGCCTGGTGTGGGTCGCGGCCGTGGTGATCGGGTGTCAAGTGGATTTCCGTTCGCGCAGTACACGCGCTGAGCTGGTGTCGACGCGTCGTGCTGGGCGCGTTTTTGTTTTGCGACGCGCCAACTTGCCACTTGATGGTTTGATTACAAATATTTCTCGGGCACAGCTAGCCGTCGCCAATGTGGGGCTCATGGATAAGTCGCCAGCTATTCGCCGGCTCTCCTCCGACGCTCATTTCCGTTTTCCTTTACCCTGCCGTGTCCCTGTGACCGCTCTCCGTCCGTGGGGCACGGTCCTGCCTGGCCTGCCATGTCGCTGTGACCGGTGTGTCCGCACAGCTGCCTTCGGTTGTGCCCCTTGTCCTCCGCTGACCCGTGTTTCCGCGCCGCCAGTGCGCCGCGCGGAGCCGACGTTCACCATACTGCCGGACGCGGTGTACAAAGTGCTGCCCGGCGAGGACCTGAACCTTACCTGCGTGGCCGTCGGCTCGCTCGTGCCCCACATCCGGTGGCACAAGGTAAGTGCCGACCGATCGTTCGCCCCCTCCCGCCGGGTCCGGGCAGTGCGGACGCGGGCCGGGCTTCTGGCCACCGGCACCGCCCGGAGACTGGCCGACGCCGACGCACCAGAGGGCGGCTGGCGACGATCGCGTCGGCCGGATCAGGCGGGTGGGCCGGGGCGGGGCAGACTGAGACCATCGAACTGGCCCGGGGGGCCGCCACCGATGCAGCGTAGGGTGGAAGCAGCCAGCGACGGGCTGCGGTGGCCTGGCACTGTTCGCTGGCCGCTGTTATGCATCACACTATACTGGGTGCGCCGCGCGGCGCTGGCCGCGCCGCCCTGCCGTCGCTGACGTGGGGATGTCCGCTGCACCAGGAGCCGGGCATCGAGCTGAGGCCGCAGGAGCCGGCCCCGATCGGCCGCTCGGTCCTCGTGCTCAGCAACGTGCGTCAGTCCAACAACTACACGTGCGTGGACACTAACGAGCTCGGCTCGGTGGCCAGCATGACGCAGGTCAACGTGCAAGGTGAGCGTCAGTGGCCGGCCGGCGGCGCCGCGCCCGGCCGAGCGATGACGTCACCGAGCCAGTGGGCTGTCGACCCGCGCCCGGTGCTGGAAGGGTATTTTTGCGAGGTCGCGCCGCCAGCGACAGTGCCAGTGTTTGCACTAGGTGGCCGCAGAGGTCAAGACTGCGTCAGGTAATACTAGTGGGATGAAGGGGCGGAAGAGGCAGGGGGAGGGCTCGGGTAGATTGCCAACCAGTCTGCCACGCCCAGGGGAACAGGGTGAAATATGTGGTTGGAATGTGATGGATGATGCATGCAGTTCAAGTCATGCTGTTGCTGTTCCTTCCCGTCGCGGTGCCTATCTTGCGCCGCACTGTCCGACTGGTTCCCGTTCCATGCCTGAGCTGCATCCCGTTTGTATTTCCTGTTGTTGCTTTCGTTTGCTTCTCATTGATGTCTGACCATTCAGACGCCTCGCTCTGCTTCCGGGAGTTCCGGCCATGGTGTGTTTGCCCGCTGACCATCTCAGTTTTTGTAAACAAGCTAGCCAACGTAAGCCCCTCCGTCGGCATGCCAAGAGCCGTCCAGAAGAGTGGGCCTCATCAGAAGACTACCATGCACGGGGTGCTCGTCAGCGGACAGACAGCAGACGCTCGGCAAGAGTAGCAGGATGACTGGGATCGTCCGCATGTCGTGGGTGCGGGGTCGGATCTAGCAGGCTGGAGGAACCCCACATCACGGCTGAGCAGCAGTGGTCGGCGGTAGTTCCCGAGCCGGGAGCCTACGTTCCCACCGGTGGGAGGAGGCCAAGGGTGGGTGGTGGAGGGGGGGGGGGGGAGGACGGCCACCCTCAGCAGTGGAACTCCGTCCTCTCGTGATGCCGTGGCGGGAGCTGACTCCTTGGGCCTCTCTCCCAGCGGGAGCCCCGCCCCCCTACCAGCGGAAGCTGGTAGGGGCCGGGGGCGGACGGAAGCAGTTCGTCTCATCAGCAGATCTCCGCTGTTTGGCGGGTCTCCTGTGACGCCCTGACTGGTGACATGGGCGGCCGTCTGGGCCGGCCGCTTCTCGCCCGCTAACAGGCGGAAAACGGGTGGGAGACGGATGGGCCCGGCCCGTGGCCCGCTCTGCGCTTTTCACAGGCCAACCCGCTGCCGCCGACACGAGTCAGAGTCGCACCACCTCTCGCAGAAGTGGGCTAATTATAAATAAGTCGCGAGCGGAAGCACGCCGGGGCCTGTAAAAAGTGGCGACGGTGGTACGACAGCGTATATTGATTGTCAGTGACCACGCGACTGTGTCGGTGCCGGTCGGCCGGCATGCTGGCTGACGGACCAGTCGGAGCTCTGGACATACGGCAGCAGTCGGACCCTGACAGGCGGCAGGCTGCCACGTCTGTGCCGCCCGGCTCGCGCCCTGGGCACTGACGTCCGACTCACGCAGGCTGACGTCTGGACGTCTCCCCCAACCAGCCTCAGACTGGGAGTGGTGCCGGGTAGCACCGTAGGTGCGCGCTCGGATAGCTGTACGCCTGCTCAACGGGGCCGGCCTCGCTCGCTGACGCCCAGCACTCGCTGCCTCCTGGGCTGCGGGCAGGGCTTCAATGTCTGGCGCATTTGACTTCTGCCTTGAGCTGAACTACCTGGCCGAGCGCGCGCTCGCAGCCATCCTGCGGCCAACACGGCCGCCAGCTCGGTCCCGTGCTCAGCGGGCCGGACGCGGCCTTCGAGTGCCGGCGGCCGCTAGAAACCATCCGCAGCGTGTTTTTTTTTTTTTTTGGAAAATTGCTCCGACATCCGTGGCGGGTCATTATATTTGGCCGGTCCGGCTCCACGGTCGTATTTTATTGGCGTTCGTCGGCGCTGTTTACCAGGGCAGTCACGCCACGGGACAGCCGTTTGCGGACAGGCCGGCTCGGCCGTACTTTGACAAGCTGGTCAGTTGTGCGGGGCCCCATTGTTAGTCCTGCCTGTGAGCGCCTTTTTCTGTTTGTACTGAAACGAGCTGGTCAGGGCTGCTGAGCCGGGGTGCCGTGTTCAGCTGCGACCATTTCTATGGACGGATTCGAAGAGATGTACCAAGTGACCGCCGCCAAGTGTGACTTGTTACGAGCCGCGTCTCCAGTCAAGGAAGCTGTGCCTCGTGCGTTGCAGCACTTCCGACACCTTGCACATTCACTCCGTCGCTACAGTTCATGCGTGGTGAGCGCTCGGCGGTGTCGCGACAACCTGGGCGGCATAATGCTGGCCTTGGCTTCGCCTCCATGGCAGAGCACGCCCATCCCGCCAGAGTCCAAAGGGATAGTGTCGGCTGCGTACTCCAACAAGCGACAGTGGGCAGTGTGGTGCCGCTTTTCGGCCGGCTCCGCGGGCTCGGCCGCGCTGTCTGTCACACTCAGTCTTCGTCGACTGTGTCACACCCGCTGGCAGTGCCGCTGGGGCACAGCGCCGCTAAAATGCTCCAGCCATTTCTCCCCGGCAAAAATGGTCGGCCACTGAATTCTAGCACTGTTGACGGGTGGGCGGCCCGGGGCAAGCTCGGTTTCGTTTGGCGCGACTCCGCGGCGTCCGCCAGCCGGCGCTGACGACGCTTTTGTCAGCGGCAGCGCCGGAGGAGGGCGTCGTGGCTGGCCCGTTGCGGCACCTCACCAGACACCTCGGTCACTCTCCGAGGGCTCTCCGACGTGACTTGACCTGACCTGTGGCACAGAGTTCCGCGGAACAGAGTGCCGAGTACTGGCGCGGGTCACCGCTGTCGGGTGGTCTCGCTATCGTTCTGGCGATGTGTGCCGCGCTCTTTCTCTTTTCATGGAAGCCGGACGAACCGCGCGAAGTGTCAAATGCAACGAGATGAAAGGCTTAGCGCGCTGCTGACGCAAGTTGTTGAGGGAACGACCAGAGCCGGTGACGGCCATGATTCATTCCGTGCTCAGACCATGCGGAATCGGGTGAGGACGTTTCTGCAGATCTAACGACGTGGGGAAGCCTCTGAGATATGTGATAATAGCTGGCCTGCCCGCCATCTCGCCAGGCGCGGTAAGTGCTGGCAGGTCAGCACAGTGCGCTGCTGATGTTCTGCGTGGAGAGAGGCGGCGCTGGAAGGCATGGCAATGCAAGGCGTCCTGCCTATCACGTGACTGATTAGCGGCTGGTGACGCCCGCTGATTGGCCGGCCCTGCCAGTTGCCTCGGCAACGCGGCTGCACAGAGTGCCTCCCTGCTCTTGCCGAGCGCTGACGTCGGCTCCCGCATGAAGATCTCGGGTAGGCGCTATATTTTCATTTCGTTACACACGCAGTGACCGTGTCGCTGCTCATGCTGCTTACCGACATGTTAGGTGTCCAGGAACAATTGTCCGTTGTGTCAGGTCTAATTGCAGATAAATTTCAGCTGCTTTACATTGGCAGACGACTGCCCCCATGTGAGCCGTATTGTTCTACGTCGGCATTGAAACTCTGACCAGGCGCTGCCTCGATGTCCATGTGAGATGGCGATTGCTGATGGGTCGGTCGGCTGTTCTTTTGTGTCTGGTGCCGGCTTAGCTGTGTCTGGTGTCGGCCTGGCTGTCTTTGTTGTCACGCTCACGATTTGAGTCACCATCCCCGAGGCCGATGTCTCGCTTCCCACATCCGATACGTATCGGCAGCGCAAGAGACGGCCAGATCCGGCGCATGCTGGTGCCTGCAAACGTAACGATAACGAACTAGCCGATTAATCTGCTTAGAGAGTCGCCATAATTAATACAAATGGCGGCAGGACAATGCGATCCCCGTCTGTGCCAATGTAGTATTAATGGTGCCGGGGTGACAGGCGTGCTGGGCCGAAAGCCCTGAAGACCGTTAGGGGAACACCTCCCCTCCCCCCTTCCCTCCGCGTCCAGGTGCGCCTCGGGCGCCCGCTGCCAGTGGCGGTGGCAGCGCGGCCCGAGCAGTACGACACCGTCGGACGTACGGCAGCTGCCACCCAGCGCCGCCGGGGCCGCAGCCCAGTGCCGGCGACGTCCGAGCTCCGCCGCTAGCCGCGTGCTCCTCCGGTCGGTCAGGCGGCCATGCTGGTGAGGCGCCGCGCGGACGCACGCGGGGCGGCGCCACCCGACCGCCGAGCGATGAGCGCGCCCCCCCCCCCCTGGGGGTGGACAGCCGCGTGGGTGGACGGTGGGCGCGTGTTTTGGTGCCGGTGTGACCTCTGCCAGTGCCATCGACCCGTGTCCGGTGCAAATGTCGCGGCGTCACGCACCCCGTGGCAGGCATGGACCGGCGTCGGCGGCCAATGACGGTGACGTTGCCATGGCGTTCGTCGATGGCGCGCCGCCGCTATGACCACCGCCCCGCCCCTCTCACGCCCCCGCACGCCCCTGCACGCCCCTGCACCTGCGCGCACGCCTGGTCGCCTAACGCACCGGGTCCAAACACAACACGGCCCGGCCGGCCGGCGTGGTCCGCGCGCGCGCGCACCTCGTGCCACGGCCGTGTCGTGTACGCGCTGGCCGATGGGCCGGTGGCAGGCGAGCTGAAGCCCCTCCATGCCGTCCGCGCCGACAGTGCTCGTCGTATTTTTAGTCGGAGCGCGCTTGACAGAGGCTCAAACGGTAACTAGTCTAAGCGTCTGTCGTCAAGCGTGGTGCGTGCCCGTCCGTGCCCACCTCCATCAGTAATTTTGAGCTCCATGGTGCCGGGTGCATGTGGGCAGGGTATAATTGGCATGCAGACGTGCACATGGCGTTGCAGCGTGTCCGTGACACGAGCTGCGTGGCAGTCGGTCGTTCTGCCGTAGAGCGCCGTGGCACGCAGAGTGCTGCGACGTCATCGCGCCGGCCGGACCAATAGCTGACCATAACCTAGCCCGACACCATGCATGTGCCATCAGACGGGCCAAACGGGTGCCCGGCAGGGCCCGTCCGATTCCGAGAACGGACTTGAGCACCGCTGCGACCGGACGCGGGGTGCCCAGAGTGTCCACTGGTGACGTAGTCCTACGATACGCGGCTCTTTTCGCCGCTGGCCGCTATGGTAGTCTGAGGGCGGCGGAGTTCAAATCGGGGGTACAAACTGTCGTCTTGGAGCGCTCGCCGACTGGGCGGACCGGACACCAGGTGCGTCGGCGGCAACTAACTTTGCATTGTCCCGCACCCCAAGTGAATAATTCGCCTTAGCGTTGGTGGGTGGCGAGTGCCGCGCGCCCGGTGCGGGGCCTCGAACGTCACTGGTCCGCGGGAGCATGCCGTCGCACGTGGCCGCTCCGGCCGACTGACTACAGTACAGACTAATTCGTCTACAGACCGGCCGGCTGACACCGCGGCCGCCCGGTGCCCGGGCGGCGGCTGTATGACCCAGCTGCGGTCGGTGTCGCGGCCTCAGTCGACACGGACGCGGAGATGCGACGGCGCCGGCTCGGCCCCCGGTCCGGCTGCCGGCGCCGCCGCTCTGCCGGCATCCTGTCACGCCCGCCCGAGACGAGCGCCGGCCGACTCTCCGCACCGGCTGAGGAGGGGCGTGACGTCCGCTGCCGGCGGCGCGCGCCACTCTCACCTCGCCGGAGAGGTCGCTGCACCGGCGCCCGTCGCCTGCCCGCCCCGCTCCCTACGGTCTAAGTAGCGCGCTGTCGGTGCTGCTGCCGCACGACGCGAACGTCACATTTAGTCGCGCGACTCCTGTCCAAATGCGGCACATTTCCTGGTGGTGGCCGGTTGGAATAACGGCTGGGTAGGGTAGCGGCTTGACCATCTCGCTCATGATCAAATATACGGAGGCATTCTTGTGCGGCCTATTTGTAACGGTTTTACTGCAGCAGCCGACAGAAGAGATGATAAAACATCCCATATTAGATAGAAGAGCAACACCTGTCGTAAATATGAAGTTCCAAACCGTTGTAAGTCATCAAAATTTCAGCAAATATACATGAATCAGCAAAAGTACATGACAATGAAACATACTTGTATATAAAATATTTGGTTGTTCAGTGCAGCTGTGAGCAACATTTCTCATGCATGAAATAGTTTTTTGGGTTTTCTTCCTCGTTGAACCATGCCTAAAGGAGGTGTAGTGATAACAGTATCAATATTACGTGTGTATAATATTAATGCTGTGTATCAATACACCTTTATTTTTCATCTAGCCCTTCAATTACGAATGAGACCCATAGTATTGCTCTCGTGTAAAGCTATATAACCGAGCACGTTGATGTTCGTGCCTCGGAAGAGAAATAACTGTGAAATGGCCTGCTACGGTCTTCCACCATAACTGTCTAGGTAGATGTGGTATTTATTGCCCTTCATTTTCCGACCATTGCGCGCAGCACAGTTGTCCAAGCTACGGCGTGCATGTCGGAGTATCTGGACAGCCACTCACGCCCCGGGGCTTTAGCTCCTGACGGACAGGTGCGACTGTGCTCACGACCTTCGTGCGGCTATATGAGGCCGGCCGTGGCTGTTTTACCGCGCTGGACGCCCGGCAGCCCCAAATAGACTTCTCCACTTCTGTAATGGGGTCCGTAATGGGATGTTTTGTGTGTAACGGGCCGCTCCATCCACGCTGTGACGTTTGCGCTGGTTGCCGGCTGCTGTGCTGGCTTTCGGTCGCCTTGCTTTTGCTGGTCAACGGTCCCGCACTGTGCACGTTCGCTGTCGTGTCCGCCGCGCTGGACCTGAGCGGTCACGCAGCCCAGCCCGGCAGCGGCACGCGGCCGGGCTGGGCTGACAGGATTCCCTGGCCGCTGCGCGCCGGCTGGCGGCAGTGAACTCATCGGGCGTAAATCCGCCGAGACGCCCCCCAGAGCCCCGCAGACAGCACGGCAAGACCTCGCCGACGGCCGGCGCTGACACCTGCCCCCGGGCCGGGTCAGGCCGACTCGCTGACGGGCCCAGGAGCCTGGCAGGGGGAGGGGCGTCGCAGGAGCACGGGCACGGCACGAGCCGGGGATGGGTATCACAGGAACCGAGAGAAGGGCGCAGCAGCTGCAGGTGGAGGGCGGATACCGGAGAAACTGGGAGATGGGTGCCGTAGAAACCGGAGGACACCATTGGAGCTAAGGAGCGTATCGCATGAGCTAGGAGATGGGTACACCAGGAGCCGCGAGGGGCGCTGAGGAGCCGCTGGAGTGTGACAAGGAATTCAGGAGAGGGTCGCCGCAGCACCCTTCATTTGACGTTCCATGATCTCCTCATGGCGGGACGTGAGGTACGAACCAGAGAGACCGCCGCTCACTGAGACCCAGAAATCGCCTCAAGCTCGGGCGCGGTCTCGCAGGCGTGCGACGCGTGGCGCGCTGCAGGCAGGCGGAGATAGGAGGGCCGCGGGTGCCGCGCCGCGCTGGCCGGCGGCGAGCGCTACGCCGAGGCGATGTGTGAGCGCGGACCAGACGGCCCCGCTGTGACCAGTGTCGGTGACGTCGCCTGAATGTGGCCCGCAGGGCTGCCGCGGCCGCCGACAAACCTGCGCGTGTTGGACGTGACCTCAGAGGCGGTCCGCCTCTCGTGGTCGTACGACCTCGACCAGGAGACCATCAAGTACTACGTCATCCAGTACAGCCAAAAATATGGTGTGCAGCAGGTGAGGCCGGCGCCCGGACGGGGCGGAGCGGCTGTGGCGCTCGTCCAGTCGGCAGCAGGTGAGGCCGGCGCGCGGACGGGGCGGGGCGGCCGTGGCGCTTGTCCAGTCGGCAGCAGGTGAGGCCGGCGCGCGGACGGGGCGGGGCGGCTGTGGCGCTTGTCCAATCGGCAGCAGGTGAGGCCGGCGTGCGGACGGGGCGGGGCCTGAGGCCGGGCTGTGCCGCACGTTCAGTCGGTCGGCGGGCGGCCAGCGTGTTGTTCATGCCGACTGGCACAGGCATCGCGTTTGGCGTTCGTAAGCCACCGGCTGCCAGTGACGTTATCCAGTGTATTAAGCGTGCATTTATCATACAAGAGCGTTTTATTTTCTCCGCACATGGGCTGGCACTTAGATGCAAGGTGCTTGTCGGAGTGGTGCGTTCCCCACGGTAAACAGTTCATAAAGTGGCAATATCTGCTTGCAGCTATTCGTTAAAGAGCGTTTGCAAAATTCCCGAGCACTGACATGAGTGGGTTTGACTCCTTTGACGCGACTGACAGTTCCCAGCTTGGTAATGTCAGTATTTGTGTGCGCTCAACACGCTCGACATGGCGCCGGTGGTGACGTCCAGAGTGTCTGCGCCCATACTGCGCCATGGCGACATGGCGCCGGTGTGTGGCGCCCGCGCGCCGCTTCCGTTGATGACGCCGGTGTCTCGGCCGCAGGAGATCAACGGCGTGATATCGCTCCACTACGCGGTGCCCAACCTGGCGCCGTTCACCGAGTACGAGTTCCGCGTGATCGCTGTCAACAACTTGGGCCGCGGCCGGCCTAGCGCGCCCGTCCAGGTCACCACGCACCTGACAGGTGAGCCTCGGGCGGGCTCCGTCGGCCGGCCAAGTACGGCGCACGCGCGCCGTCAACCCCGGCGGTGGACGGTCGGCGCCGGCCGGCGCTGCGCTGCTGGGAACGTCCGCCGCTCCCTGCGGCCTGCCGGAGGGAGGGAGGGGAAGGAGGCAGGTGGGACGTGTAGCCCTGAGGGCGCGTGTGGGATGGCTGGCTTGACGCGCCTCCGGACCGCTCACGCCGGTGGGCGGGGAGAGTCTCGACACCGACGACGGCCGCCTGGTTTACGACATTCGAGTCGGGAACAGCTAACACTGCACGTGCCGCCCGTCCGTCGGGTGTTGGAAGCGAGGGAGGGGGAGGGGAAGGGGCACCTGGGCTGGCCCACACACCTGTTGGAGCGGCCACAGAGTCGACGAGCTGCTCGGAAACGCGTGTTAATGGGTGCCGGTGGTGCCTTGGTGGACCCGTTTCCGTGACTTCATTATGGACAGGCTGGACCGCCGTCGTCTCGTCAGGGCGTCCATTAACCTGTTCCTCGGAATCATGACTCGTAGCCCTAGGTTTCAGGGTGGCGGATTTGTGACAGAGACTCAGCGGTGTTTGAAAACGCTGTAATGTGTCGGGTTGTTTATGGACGCATGTGTGCAACCGGCGAGGTGTCGCGTCTGGATGGCGGCTGGGCGGCCGGAGCGCGCCCGGCTGGAGACGACACCGCCGACCCGGCCGGCCGCCAGGCGTGGCTTAGTCGGGGGCCGATTACGGCCACCGGCGCGTGGCATCAGCAGGCGGCCACTGTCAGCGCGAGCCGCGGCGCGTCGCCTTATTTGCGGTCGGCGGGCTGGCGGCGGCGCGGCCGGGAGCGTGTTCCCTCCCCACTGTCCCCCGAGAGCGAGAGAGCGAGAGAGCGAGAGCAGTGTACCTGTGACCCGCCGCCGCCCTGCCACCTGATGTGTTACCCATGCGCGCCACGCAAACGCGTCTGGCTTTGATCGGCACCGGCCGCCGATCAGGCTCTAATGTTATTGTCTTCTCTCCCGCGTCACACCGATAACCTCCAGAGGCTTCCGTAAGTTGATTTGTGTTTTCTCAGGTCTTCGGTTTCTGTTTTCTTTGCTCTGTCTGGTCCACTCGGCACTGCCGACGAATTATTGAGTGCCGGTCGGGTTTCTCACTGAAATGCGTTTCCCACACTTCGAAGCATCGTTTCTGTGTCGATTGCGTGTAATGTCCGCACTTGTGTTGCTGCGCACTTCACAGCTGTACTGTTTGTCAGCCGCTTTTATTCACGCTGCTTTCCTGGTATCTATGGACTGCATGAATTTGAAACTGACGAAAGAGCGCAGTTGCCGGCGTTTGTCTGTGCTGGAAGCGTGCAACATTATCGCACACCTGTAGGAGCGTAGCTGTGATTTTGGATAGCGCGCGTTTGTTTGTTTTAGCTTCCGTTGCTGCCTTGACTTGGAAGCGAACAGCGCCGTGTGATAGCGGTTTCTCAGGGCGCACCACGAAGCGGACCTGTTGCGCCGTTGAAACTGAGCCCGCTGTGCTGTTTTAACGGCGGGTTTATAGGCGATGGGCAGTATCATACCGCAGCTTCGAACCCTCGTGAGGCGCGTGTAATCCGAGCCTGCGCCGTGGCCGTCTGCGGCTCTCGGTGCCGTGGCCGTCTGCGGCTCTCGGAGCCGTGGCCAGCTGCAGCTCTCGGTGCCGTGGCCAGCTGCGGCTCTCGGTGCCGTGGCCAGCTGCGGCTCTCGGTGCCGTGGCCAGCTGCGGCCCTCGGTGCCGTGGCCAGCTGCGGCCCTCGGTGCCGTGGCCAGCTGCGGCCCTCGGTTGCCGTGGCCAGCTGCGGCTCTCGGTGCCGTGGCCGGCTACTTGGCCGGTGACCGGAGCCGCCGTCCCGTGAGGCGGCCAGCGGACGGCAGGCCGGGCACGCGCCCGCCTGAAAAGACACGTGTGCGCCGCTGCTATCCGGTTTCCGGACGGCGTGCTTGAAATGGCGGCGGCGCCGACTGGCCGGCGTGACGGGCGCACCTGGCGGCGGTCAAGACGGGCCCGCCGGCCGGCCTTGGCGCCGCTCGGTGACTGTGCCTGCCTGCGTGCGCGGCAGACTAGGAGTCCCAGCGGCAGTCTGGCTCGGCTCGGCGAGCTGCCGTCAGCTGTGACGCGCGTGATCCTCCGCTGGGTCGTCGTCGTCCGCTTAGGCTCGGTGTGTGATGGGTGCGTCTGTCCGCCTGTTGTAGAGCCCGGCTCGGCGCCCAAGAACGTGCACGTGCGGCCGCTGGGCTCCAGCACGCTGGTTGTCATGTGGGACAGCCCCGACCAGCCTGTCGTCCAGGTGAGAGGCCGGCGGCCGCGGCCGCGCAGGCGCCACCGACTGGTCACCGGCTGGCGACAGGCTGGTCACCGGCTGGCCACCGGCTGGCCACAGGCTGGTCACCGGCTGGCTACCGGCTGGTCACCGGCTGGTCACCGGCTGGCTACCAGCTGGTCACCGGCTGGTCGCCGGCTGGCCACCGGCTGCCGGCTGAGCCGCTTACAGTGTGCCGTTCCGGGTGCTCTATGCCGTGCGCTGTCCCTGTCCCCAGTGCCTCTCGGCTCTCCAAGATACCGAGGCTTCCGGGACGGCGGAGACGAAAGGGGCGAGTCCCGTGCTCTGGTCAGACGTAGGCCTTCCCTGGCCTTGCTCCTCTCTGCCTGCAAGCCGCCGTTCCCAGCGAGTGAGCCGGGAGCGTTGTCAGCTGACCCGTGTCAGCGCTGTTATCGTGATGTGTTGTTCGAATTTGGGATAGCGATCTCCGTGGTCGCTACTGCTCCTGCATCATCATGGGTGCGGTGTCATGACGCTGCCAACTGCCGTGCAGATCACCAGCTACAAGGTCTACTTCACGATGACGCCCGACCTGCCGCTGAAGCAATGGGAGTCGGAGGTGGTGTACGCCGGCGGCGGCACACTCATCACCCTCTCCGGCCTGGTCCCGCACGAGATCTACACGCTCCGTGTACAGGCCGAGACGCTGGCCGGGCCCGGGCCCATTTCGGTGCCGGTACGCGCCAAGACGCAACAGGGCGGTAAGTGATGCACCGGCCGCTGTCGGCTCCAAGGCCGTCTGTGGGCTCTCTCCCTCCAGCCTGTCGTGCAGGCCTGCGTGCGGGCCTGCGTGCGGACAGGACAGGGCTGGCCGGGTGCTGTGGACTCGTGGCCGGTGCTCCGTGTGTGACAATAGATCACCAATTACGAGGGCACGGTAGGGCTGGCCGGGTGCTGTGGACTCGTGGCCGGTGCTCCGTGTGTGACAACAGATCATCAATCACGAGGGCAGGACAGGGCTGGCCGGGTGCTGTGGACTCGTGGCCGGTGCTTCATGTGTGGCAGCAGATCACCAATCACGAGGGCAGGACAGGGCTGGCCGGGTGCTGTGGACTCGTGGCCGGTGCTTCATGTGTGGCAGCAGATCACCAGTCGCGATATTGAAGCTCAGATGTGTGGTGCGTGTTGTCGGCATTGTGTCAGGTTGTGCGTTGTATCGACGAGGGAAGATGGCACAGCGAGAAACATTGGACCCGTGGAAAACGCGCATGTGTCAAATTACGGCGATGCCCTTTTGCCCCGAGCCTTTTACAGTTCTGCATGCTTTTACGATTGTCCAAATCTGTCGGAAAGGCCCGCAGGGTATTTCAAAGTCTGGATCTTCGGCGTCCATTTTTTGGAGTCGCTGATGACATTCAGCGAGCTAACAAAACCTGAAACTCGGTCGGCTGTCTGAGCGGAACCAGTGCTCCAGAAGGAGCCATATTTGATTACATGAAATATGAGATTGAGTACCTCTTGGATCTTCCGGAACTGTGTCAATTAAAGTTGACAGAAACCTCTTCGTCACTTAATAGCCTCATTTGGCAATGCGTGTTAAGCTTAGCTCCGGGTCTCCACTGGCTGCGAGGGCCGGTCCGACTGCCGGCTACTTCCACACCTGGGTCCGCCGCCGGCGGCGGCGGCGGCCGCGCCGCCAGAGTCGCCGGGGATCAGGCCCTTGTTGCTGGTTACGGCCGCGACAATGGCGTGTGTACGGGTGTAATGGCTGGCGTCTGCCGCCCCGGGAGGGGGCCGTGACACCGGCCGGGTGGAGCGCTGACATGGCACCTCGTCACCTGGCGAACCTGTGGCCCGCTGCCAGACGGAGAGGGCGGGCGTCGGCCGGTGCGACTTCAGACAATGGGCAGTTGTGAGTTGTCTGACATGCCACACGTCTGTGGGGCTGACGCTGCTTCCGAGTGGGCCGCCGTGGACGGGCTGGTCCGCTGTGTGGGTGACCATGGCGACCACCTGGCCCAGTGCTGGCCGCTGTGTCGGTCGCGGGGTCGGGCGTGGGCGGCGTGTGCGGCGCGGCTGACCGGACGCGCTCACCGCCGCAGTGCCCAGCCAGCCGAACGGCCTGGACGTGGTGGAGAAGGGCGCCACAACGGCCGTCCTCAGCTGGGAGCGGCCCGTGCACTCCAGGGGAGGGGCATCATCAACTACGTCGTGTACTACAACGACACGTACGAGAAGGTGAGCGACCGGACCTGCGGACGCGCGCTCTTGACCGGCGCGCTCCGCCCGCTCGGCGCGCCCCAAGGCCTCCGCAGAGGGCGGCCAGGCAGTGCCCGGCGTCGGCGACAGCGGCTCCCGACAGCGAATGCGATCGAATGACAGACGGGCCAGCGATCTGTGGGCCACTTTACGGTCATCCCGTGACGTCCCAGAGAGGAGCCCGTCCAGAGCGTGGCTGTCGGTGCACCAGTGGACAGGCGGCTCTGCTCACTGGAGCAGCCGGGCCGTGCTGCAGCGTGACCAGGCCGGCTGTATCGGCAGGTCGGCTGTGTCGGCTCGCCCGCCTGCCGGCAACATGTTATCACGTTGCAACATGTTGCATGTTCTCAGATAAGCATATAATTGGTGAGGAAAACGCTCTCAAACGCTGTGTCTGCTGCCAGACGAACATTGACGTTCAGTTTTTGTTGTTCGGGCTTCCGGAAGTTCATTCGCTTATCAGTCAGTGCTGTGGGATCTGTTTGTCATTGGCTTCTGCTGCCACACGACAGCTGCTTTACGGTGATTTCGATTCCCCGATCTTCCCTTATGGACGGCTGTCTCACTGGTGTACACACACAATGTAAATGGCATGGTATGTGGGGACGTGCCAAATATGGGCATGAGTAATGTACCCATAGGCCAAATTTTTCACACCATCTCTAAATCTCTGTTGTGTCAATACACGCTGTTTAGATTGTGGTATATTTGTGGGGCTAAGCCCGAATTAGGCCTTAATCAGTTCTAATGGGGCGTTTCAGGGTTAAACTGTACTAATTATAGGCCCGTCTTGGTGGTGTACCCACAAACAAGGTCCAGCACACATGTCCCAACAAAACAGAATGACGTGAATAGGTTGGTGTGTGTATGTGTGTGTGTGTGTGTGCGTGTGTGTGGCGCGCGCGCGTGCGTGCGTGTGTGTGTGCGTGCATACGTATACCGGTATCTCGGTCCCGTGTGTGTCTGTGTCGCTGTTCGGCCGAGACCGGTGTGTCGGTGCTGCTGTGTAATGGGTGCCGGTATCTCGGTCCCGTCTGTGTCTGTGTCGGTTTTGGTGTATGTGTCAGTGCTTCCGTACCTTCTGTATCAAATGCTGCTGTCTCGTCTGTGCCGGTGTCATATTCTTCTGTGTTAATGATGCTGTCCCGTATCTATCTCTGCAGCGTGTGTTTATGTGGCTGGCTGGCTGGCTGGCTGGCGAGCGAGACATCAACTTCTCTGTCCATACTGCTGTCTCGCCTGTGTCCGTGCCGCTGTGTACTTGTGTCCCGACGCCGCCGCCCGGTCGGCCGTCGCCCACCTCTGCCGCGGAGTGGCTGCTGCCGCTCGGCCGCGCTCGTGGCCCGGCGCCGTCCGTCACGGGTCGGCCGTGTATTGGCGGCAAGCGGGCCGCGGCGGCGTGGTGCGGCCCGCCTGCGGCGCCCTCCGGCTCAGACGGCTCGGCTCCGGCGCATCAGCGGCGTCTCCTCTCGCCGCCGCTTTAGTTTACGGTGACGACGCTCATCCGGTAATGCGGCGGGGCCTCGCTTTGAGCCGCCGCCGCCTCGCCGGACCGCCGTCGGTCCCCCGGCGCCGCACACGGACGCCGTTTGAGTTGGTGCCAGTTGGTCGGCGTTCCTGTGTCAGTTTTGCGAGCGCGGCTCGGCTGTCCGGGTCCTAAGTTTGCGGCCGATGGCGTGCCGTGATCGGTCTGATTGAACGCGATAGGCGTGTTTTGCCTCCGGCTGCGTCGCGCCGGTGCCGACGGGAGCCGACCGCCCGGGTGGGCCGGTTGAAGAGGCGGTCGAGTTCGGCCTGACGGCAGTGTTTTCCGGAGCGCCGGAAACTGCCGGGAGGGGCGGAGCGACGCCGGGAGCGCCGGAGGCAGGCTGCTCCCTCAGCTGAGCAACTGGGCTCGACGACTCGCGTTCTTGGCCACTGGGCCCGCCGCTCGGCCGACCAACTTTGGCAGAAGTCCGGCGGAGGCAGCTGCTCATTTGTTGACGGGGTCGGCCGACAACGGCCTGACAATCAGTCATAGCCACTCCTCACTCTTCCATGCCGCTGATAGCACAAATTCTGATTAATCCGTTTTGCCTCATAAACATTCCATTGCAGGCGTCAACATGTGACCAGAAATACTTTAGGGGATCTAGCACGAGGAAACAGTTGGGAAAGAATCAACCTGTTTTAAGGCGGTTTTTCCTCGTGATGCCAGAGACGTGGCGTGTTTGTCAAAAGCCACGGAGGTGTTTGCCCGCCTCCGCTCTATCATACGACGAAACCGTGTGTGACCCGCGTAAGAGATATTCAGGTACTGTCTGGGGATAGATGATAACCCACGACCGTCTGGAGGTGCGCATTGGAGCATTAGCGCATGATCCGTTAGTTGTGTGGGATAAATTAGCTGCTTGGCTGCTTGTAGAAGCGCAGCCAGCCATGTAAACCTTCGCTTTTGTCATGTCTCACTGGCCCGACATAGCAGCAGCATCAACATTCTGCTGAAGCGTATCCAGCTGATGTTTGGCGTGCGTTGAAAAGTTGGTGGACCCATCTGGAACAGTTTTTTTGTTATTTCTGGAAATGGCATGGAATGCCTTCACTCCACCGGTGGCCATGCGTTCAAAAGCTTCTTTCAAGCATATTTGAAATTTTAGCGTTGTGTTACGTACTTGGCGAGTTATTTTTCCATCGTGGAACGCTGAGATGCACAGACCCAGCGCATGTGCGCTGTTTGGCGAATGCTGTCACTCTGTGATCGGAGGCGCGGTGGACCGAGCTCTTCGGCCCGTCCTTTCGGCGCCTCCGCGGAGCTTGGAGTTGTGCAGGCTTTCGGCTGGCATCGTAACGTCCTCATCGCACGCTCTGCTCGCCGTGTGTTGGAAGCGCGGTGCTGGATGGCGCGCGCCACGTTTTCTCCCGGGCGTGGTCCCGGGCACTTGGCGCTGTCGACCGGCCGCCTAGCGGTGGAGTGCGGCGACGACGACACGCCGGCGAGGACGAGCACCCTCTGGGTCAGCTGGGCGCGACAGGACGGCTCTCGAGAGGCGGTGACACGGACGGCAGGACGGGCGGCAGTGACGCACGCGCCGGCGCGCCGGCGACGGCCACCGCCGCCCGTCGCCGGCCCGGCCGGGCAGCTGTCGCTCGACGCCGTCGTCGCTGGCACGCTCTGGTGATGGCATGCTCCTGTGATGGTACGCTCCGGTGATGGCACGCTCCTGTGATGGTACGCTCCGATGATGGCACGCTCCTGTGATGGTAAGTTCCGATGATGGCATGCTGCTGTGATGGTACACTCCAGTGATGGCACGCTCCTGTGATGGCGCGCTCCGATGATGGCATGCTCCGGTGATGGTACTCTCCGATGATGGAACGCTCCTGTGATGGTAGCTCCGATGGTGGCACGCTCCTGCGATGGTACGTTTTGGTGATGTCATGCTCCTGTGATGGTACGCTCCAGTGATAGTACGCTCCGGTGATGGTACGCTTCGGTGATGGCATACTCCTGTGATGGCACGCTCCGGTGATGGCATGCTGCTGTGATGGTAACTCCGGTGATGGCGCGCTCCTGTGATGGTACGCTTCGGTGATGGCATGCTCCTGTGATGGTAGCTCCGATGATGGCATGCTCCTGTGATGGTACGCTCCGATGATGGCACGCTCCGGTGATAGCGCGGAGCTGGGTGCCGCACGGCCGTCGCGTCCATACGTCCTTCATTTGTGCACGACAAGATCTGTGGAAAGTTCCGAACATGCTCTGGTCAGAGATGCGAAATGTTTCTCAAACGATTGGTGAACATCACATATGAAGGCAGGAGAAGAAATCACATACGCCAGTCTTTTGGTGAGCATAGGTCAGTTCATTCTAAATCAAATAAGTTGCGGCAAAGCTTATTCGTGACGTCATCGTGTGTATTCACTCTAAGCTCACATATGAAGGCAGCGAAAATATCACAAACGCCAATTTATTTGTCATGGAAGTCTTGCGATCAGCCGTTAGGGGGGGGGGGATTCTCTCCCGTTTCTTTGGCGCGCATTGCGCATCAATGCAGCCGTGCTGCGCGTTGTTGCACTTGTGTCCATTGCTCTGGTGGGCTGGGCCGAGCCCAGTGCCGGCTGACACAGCGGGAGCTGGAGATGACTGGCGAGGGATGTGACAGCACGGCCAGGCGGGATAGCCCAGGTGGACGGGGAGCCCAGACCCGCCTCATCACATGTATCGAGGCGGACGTAGCTCCGGTTTCCGATTTTCCCGGAAGCCAAACTGGGAGGGAGTTGCTGCGATCTTGCGGTCGTCCCTTCCACTAGATTCGCCGTGAGCGACATCAGGGCGTGTAATCGGTCCCTCCGTGCTGCTGCTGCCCGGACAGGGCAGCACCTGTGAGCTGCACAGATCTGTGTGTTTATTTGAATCACGTCACCGCCATATGGTGTCGTCACATTTAAATCCTAGGCCGCCGGACGCCAGCAGTGATCAGCTGGAGCCGGTGCTATGTCCGCATCAGTTCACATTACCAGCAGTGCTCAGCTGGAGCCGGTGCTATGTTCGCATCAGCTCACATTACCAGCAGTGCTCAGCTGGAGCCGGTGCTATGTCCGCATCAGCTCACGTCAGTGAGCTGATGCTGTAGCTGTAGCTCCGCATCAGTTGCTGGGCAACTTCACGCGTGGTTTCTCGTCATTCGTCGTCATTCAGCGGAGGCGATCGATTGACATAAGTTACGGTCATTGTTTTATTGTCTTTGTTTTATGTTGAGATATTGCACAGTATCGTTCTCTGTGACCAGTTTTGATGCGGACTGGAGCTCCTGCTCTGGGACTGGAGGGTAGCGTCGAGGGTTATCCGGGCGGCCACAAGCTCCCCGCTACGGCCATGGTCGCCGGCGGGGCTGAAGCGTGCAGCCTGCTGAGGCTATAGCGCACCTCTCTGTTTCAGTCCGAATGGCGATGCTAGCGGTCCGTCTTTGCGACAGGCTTGTTTGTGTGCGTGCGTATGTGGTTTGTGCGCATCACTGAGTAGCTCCTGTAGACGCTCGGTCACGGCGGCTTTTCCCAGACGACAAATGAGTCGGGTGTGGATTCTAAGCGGACTGGCTCTGGCAGCGAGCGATCCCCACATCATCAGCTGACTGACTGGCGGCGGGTCCCGACGGCGGCGCGTCTTGTGCGCGTGGCGCGGGTGACTCAGTGTTCGGGCTTTGGACGCCGCCGTGCCCGCCCCTCTGCACCGATCAAAGCCTGGCTCCGTACTGCTCGCGATCGACACGGCGCCGGACCGCCGCCTGGGGGTCCCTGCAGGCAAACTGCCGCCGACGCCCGGCCGCATTCCTGAGCCGATTGGCGCTGTTGGCGCAATGGCGCCCGTAATTAGCCCGAACCCGCGAAGCCCCGCGGCTACGTCGGCGGCGGCGGCGGCCGGGCCGGTAGCCGGCGGCGCCAGGGAGAGGACCGGGGTGACGCGGCGCCACCCTCCGCTCGCGGCTGGCTGGGCTCGGCGCAGCCACTCGCGCTACCAGTGGTGGCAGCCGCATGGGGTCTGGTGGCGCCGCCCGGCCGCGACGGCCGGCGGCCGGCCACCGAGCCTCACCTCGTTTGACCCGACCTCCGCAGGTGGAGCGGCGCATGGTGGTGCCACTGCACGAGCGCTATGAGATGAAGGACCTGCACCCGAACACGCTGTACTACGTGTGGGTGGCGGCCGTCTCTGGCAGAGGCGAGGGTGCTGCCACGCCGGTCGTCCCGTTCCGCACCGAGGAGTATGGTAATTGTCTGGGCCGGTACTTTGGCTTTGTATTCGAGCACCGCGGAATGATCAGCACCGTGCACTCACACCATGTTGTTGTTTTGCGTGCACAGTAGTCTCACTTTATACTCCACTTTTATATATATGCATATATATATATATATATATATATATATATATATATATATATATATATATATATATATATATATATACATCGGACCTCACGTCGTGCCTGTCAGTGACGGGCGTCCGATCGCCGTCTCACGTACAGTTCTGGCTGCTTTCCGTACGGATGTTTGACTGGCGTGCTCCGGCTGCGCCGGCTCGCGGCCTCCGCCGGCCGGGCCGGCTGGTACGGGGTTCGGGGGGGGGGGGGGGGGGGGCGCAGGCCGCTGCAGCATGAATCAAATCCGCTTCATTGATGAGCTGGGAGCTGGTCGGGTGGTCGTGGCGGCGACTCAAAATTGATCGGGGAGATTTTCCGAAAGCGTCTTGATATCGCCCGGCATCGTTTCGTTCCTTTATTTATATCCCATCTTAAGAAATTTCCTGAACTAAAGCTTCGTTGGGCCAAAGTATCTTGCGCTTTTGGAGCCCGGCTTCGTGTGTGTGTGGGGGGGGGGGGGGGGGCAACCACTGAAAACCGTCCGAAACCACTAGAACTAGCTACTAACACTAGCCACTAGGATGACATTCCTGTTTTTGCGGGCGCTTTGGAGCATTTCGGGAAACGTGCGGCCGTACCTCAGGATGTTGCGAAAAGGATGTCTGCGTCCCTGTCCGTACCGGTCCCCCCACTGTCAGCCGCCACGCTCACTGACCACCGTCTTCGGTCTTGGCGTCTGTGAGCACCGTCCCAGCACCATTGGCTGGCCTTTCAGTTTTTAAAAGAGCGCTAAACGATCCCGCTTTTCCTGTCATTGTGCCTGGTCACCCCGCGTCGCTCGTCGGCCAGGAGACCCACCATCGCCCGAGGCGGCGAGAGAATCAGAACATGTTCGTCCCCGACAGGCGGTGGACAGAGATGCGGGGACTAGAAATTCCCAAACCGAAATTTTCCCAAGTGAGGCGACATTTTGCCCGTCCGTAGAGTTCTGGTAGAGTTTCGTCGGTGCTGCTTGCTGGCTCAGCTCAGGCCGCCGCGCTGGTGCCATCTCTCGGACGATGGCCGAACCAGCGCCGCGCGGCCGCCCGACTGCTCCGTCTGCCGTTCCGTTCAACATGGCGTGCCGTTTGATTTCGACACACGCGAGTTCGCTGCCTTTTGGTTGTTGAGTTGGACGCGCCGCTCGGAGTCGCCGGCGGGCGATGGCTGGTGCGCATGCGCATTGTGCTGTGGTGCCGCAGTGCCGGGCGGGGCGCCGCGGGCGGTGCGCGTGCGCGCGCTGGACTCGCGCTCGCTGCTGGTCTCCTGGCTGCCGCCGTCGGCGGACCTGCGGAACGGTGCCATCCGCTACTACAAGATCTTCTTGAAGCGCTCTGGCCAGGACGACTCGGACGCGGTTGAGATCAAGCTGAAAGACCCGTCGCATCGCAACTTCACGGTGGACGAGCTGCGCAAGTACACCGAGTATTCCATCAGTGTGCTGGCCGGCACGCTGGTGGGCGACGGGCCGCAGAGCCACCCGGTCCTGGCACGCACCGAAGACGACGGTACGTGGGGGTGACGCGCAGCCGGGGAGGGGGAGGGGGTGGGGGGGGGGGCAGCCGGAGGGGGCGGCTAGACGGCGGGGGCTTGCTGGAGGGGGACGCCGAGCTGCGTGGGGGTGCTTCGGCCGGGGCCGGCTGTGTAGGGACTGTTAGGCGCCCGGTGATGAGCAGCCGTTGTGTCGTCGGAGTTTTGAGGGGAGTTGGCTGGCATGGCTCGGGCTGTGTCCCCTAGAGGCGAGGACTCTGCGGGGTTCAAGGGAGAGTGATCGGTTTGCAGCCGAGGCATTGGTTTTCCCATGCGAAAGGTGTTTCAAGAAGGTGGATCTTTAACAGGGTTGGGTATAGGTGACATTATCGGCGTGTATTGTCGAGTTTTTATGGCCTTCGATACATGTATTGTGTAACCAATAGACATACTAATGGGTTGTTAAACGATTGTCGCTGTGTTTCAACCTCAGATGGAGCATATGCACTTGCTGCGAAAGAGGCTGCGCTTCTTGGAAAACGTGCTTTGGTTCAACACGTAGAAAGCTGCGGAATACTGTTTTGGCTCATTTTGGCATATTGAACACCAAATGTACTTGAACTTTCTTTTGTTCGTGAGTTGTCTCTCTGCGCTACTATTCTGCAACTTTGTGTTGTTGGCATGCACCCATGGTGGGGAATAGCACGCAAGGATGATTTCATTGCGATAACATTTTCGGTTATAGCTGCACTGTTGAAGGCAAAGTGCATAAGTTACAATATTTCAGGTGTTCTACTTTTGAAGAGATAACTTTTACTCTTCGTGGGACAGTTAAAATGCAGAGTTTATTTATTTACGTTTCAACCAGAATCGAACGCTATTGGACGTTACCATGGTAAATATCCAGGCAAAGGCCAGGAGCATAATTCTGCGAGGGAATGACGAAATTTGTCATTGTCAGTGTTAATTGTCGCACCGAACTGCTTAATGGCAGTGTGGCGTTATGCGTGGTGAACCCCGGCGCTGCGAGACAGCGGGGTGCCAACCGTTCTTGATGGGCTGGCCTCGCAGGTGCCCGCGGTAGCCCCGCCGGTCTCAGCATATCAGGCTTCGTTTCGTTTTAAAACGCTCCGACGCAGTCTTGACAATTCGTATTGCATCAGCCCTCTGTAGTAGAGCAATGGGCCAGTAATGTGTGATCAGGCCCCCGTGGCCGGCGTGGCCGGAGGACGGGCACCACTGGCGGCCATCGTCCCGAGTCATTGGACTACGAGCGGATCGTTCCTTCGGTTATTGTGCCAGGAAACATTGCTCATGGCTAAAAACACCAAACTCACCCAGTGCCACGCAGGGGAAGGTCTGGAGCTCTAATATATTTCCAGGCGACTTTAAAGGAAATATGATATGTACTGTGTTGGGAATGAACTGCTGGTATTTGGTCAAACTGCGTTTAAGACGGTATGTCGTCATGAACCTTTCTATGTAGCATCGCGGATCCGGGTGCGGACTGAGATGTTTTTTTTTCTCACTCCTATTGGTGTTCTGTCTCTTTATCTGTCACTAGCAACTCTTCGTGACCTAGCGCACAGTTGTATTGCACATTTCCAGCACGCAATCGTAAATAGGTACTCTTTCCAGCCGAGGAGTGGGCTGGGAGGGGTTAGAGCACGCGCACTGGGCAAGACGCCAAATTAACTCATGAGGACGGTCGGAGTCGTTTTTTAGCTTCAGACACGCCAAAAAAGCCGGCTCCGGTCAGGTGAAGGTGAACCAAAAGGTACTGCTCGAAACAGCAGACCCCCTTAAAACTGAGATGAAAACGTGGCACCCGTTTTGCGAGGGCTAGAGATTCCTCATTCATAACACTTCATGTTGTGTGTGCCGGTGACACTCGGCTTGTCGCCTAGCGATACACTGCGTTGGGCTGGCCGATGCGGACGTGTTCACACCCCAGATTCGCCACCGCTTGATTCCAGGCGGCCGTGGCCGTGTGCGCTTGGTCGACCTGACCGGCTAGAATGCCAACTTCCGTGCTGCCAACCATCATTTCTGACGCGGCGCCGTCGGGCGCTGTGGCCAGTCCAAGCCATGGCAAACAGGGTTTGCTACCGCTGCTGTTTGCCGAGAAAATGTAGCCATGGGCCGTGCCATGGTGCTTGGGGGCCTGCTGAACACGAGGCGGCCGGGATAACTGACTGTGCGTTCTGTGTGGCGGACGCCTCCCATGCCTCGTCACGCAGAAGAGCCCCGGAATTGAGACAGTGCCCAAAGGTGTGCGGTGTGTGATCTGGGCGCTGTCAGAAGTGTTACCAAGTATTAGCCGTCTTCAAGAAGGGTTATGGGCTGTAGCAAAGGTGTAGAGTGTTCAGGCGGGGGTCACTTAGATCATAGAGACGTGAAGGAAGCCTCATGAAGCATGCGATAAGGGCCGAAACGGCCGTTCTAACGACATCAATTGATTTGTGCATCAGCAGCGCGCTTGCGCTCTGGTTGACGTATCTGGAGGGGTTTGCTCTGTTTCTTCAGTAGGCCTGTCGTAGGCATCACTTGACACTCCTTGTGCATGGTCTTCTTTCACAGGGCCTTCTGGTCTGTAGCTCTCAGTCGTCACCAATTGTGACATCCCGCCACTATTTTAGGGCACCGATGCGCCCCCCGACCTATTGTGCGCGCATCGAGGGCCGGGTAACTTTTGCTTGTGTGTTTTTTGGTCAACATGGTGTGCGGTGATTTGATATCTGGCCTCTCTTTCTCTGTTTCTCTCTCCCCTCCTCCCGTGACTGTGCGTGGTCCTCCATCTCTGAAAGGCCGGCAGTGAGTACTGAAGACTCTGTGGCCGCCAGCTCGGCCAGTCCGGACATGAATGCCGCCAGATTCGGCTGCCAACCGTTGTCGTTAGCCGTTTGCATGGCCGAGCTCGGCCCTGGACGTTTTCCCTCATCACCTTGCGTAGGTGGTAGCGGTTCGATGCGGTGTCCATGGATGCCGTGAAGCAGACCTTTGGCACTGGCAACAGTTTCCCTCTACCGCCTCCGGGGAGGGGTCGGAGCCTGGGGGAGGAGCGGTGGAGAATGGGGCGAGCACACAAGTCAGCGGAGTCGCGGTTAGCCCACGCCAACAGGTCACCGCGCCGGCTGTCAATTCTCAATACCCACTTGGCATGCTCTATGTCGCTGTATTTGTCTCTGTTCAAACAATGACTCGAGCGCGTCTGTCGCGATATAGATAGCTGGGTGTCGCGTTCGCGTTTGCCATGGCGTTCTTCTCATAACCCAGGCGGGCTGGTCCTCGGCCAGTGAGCCGCGCTGTACAGACACTGTTCCTTGCTAACGTAACGTCGGCTCCCATCTCCTCTGCTTGTGAGTGATTAGGCAGGCGCCGTGTGCGGCGGCGCTGTGGCAGCGCTTGGTTAGCGGCAGTGGCCGCGTGGCCGGTGCTGGGCGTGCTGTGCGTGTGCGGGGCTGGCGGCCGGACTGAGCTGAGCGCCGCTCCTACAGTGCCGGGCAAGCCGCGCAACCTGACCGCCCGCGTGCTGAACTCGACGGCCGTCCGGCTCACCTGGTCACTACCCACGGACCGCGAGCGCAACGGCCTGATCCTCGGGCACCAGGTCCTCGTGCAAGAGCTAGGCACTGAGGTGAGGCGGTCCGACCGGCAGCCGGCCTGGTCTAGCACCGGCGCCAGTCACCGGCCGGCTAGGGCCCAGGCCCGGGCCAGCGGCGGAAGTGGGGCCGCACCCAAGTGCGGCCTAGTGCTTTGATATTGGACTTAAGATCATGCTTTATGCCCTTCATTCTGTAAAATGCGCATGTTTATATGGTAGTTCAAGGTATATACTGTGACAAAATTAGAGGTTCAGAACAAAGACACCAGACTATTAAATACGTGGTCAACGATATTGAACGAAGACGAGCTTGGTGTTATTTTCAGCAGCAAACACCTTCACGACTCAAGAAATGTGCCCGGAGAGCGTGTGAGCATCGGCAAGCTCGCCTTAGAAATTAAATATCCTAGACATGGGTTTTCTCTGTGCGTGTCACGTGAAAAAACACTATGCCAGAACTAGTTACACACACACAGGAATGAAAAATTGGACAGTAGTATTAGCCGATTCCTCGGAAAAACCAGGAGAATAGAGATATAGTTTGGTTGATATTTCGGCAACATGCCTTTATTGAAACAATACGAGACAGGCATTCAAAATTGCCTGCCGATGTTCCTACTCGATTTTTCAGGTTTTTTTTTTTGTTGTTGTTGAAAGAGCAAGCCACAGTTTTTGCTGGACACCAACATTTAGGGGAATAAACAAAGAGCGATTGGCAGCCATTACCAAGGTACCGTGCCTACCTGAGAATTAGAATGCCCGAACATACGTGTACATGCAGGCGACTTGAAGCAAATAGACATCACGCGTCACGCTTTATTTGAACATGTAAGCAAGTTGAAGTAAACAGGCATCAAACATCGCGCAACAATTATGCGCGCAAACGATTTCAATTGAACAGGCAGCGCGCGTCACGCGACAGGCATCACTTACACATGTAAACGATTTTAAGCTAGCACACATCACACATAAAGGCACGTATCACACTCGCATAATCGGCCATGGTGGGCCCTGTATGCTAAGATTTGGTCGCCGACTTTTTATAAGAATTGATTCACTTATTTTCCTGTCTGGGTGGTCCTGTGTTCTGTAGATGACTTTGAGCTCTAAAAGAGGGATAGGGTCCACACTTCCCTCGATTTCAGCCTGAGCGTGTTTTGCCAAAAAGTAGTCACCGAAAGGGGTATTCCCTGTTTTGGTTTTAGCGCCTCGCAAGTGTTCATTATATCTCAAACGAATAGGGCGCATGGACTCCCCGGCATACACTATGTCCCTCCCATGTTTTTCACAAAGCGCACACTTGATTTCGTAAACCACGTTTTTTTGCGTGCAAACCCCTCGGAGCCCAGAACTGCATACATGGCATCTGTTGCCACCCGGGGACTTTGGCTTCGAGATGGAAGATTTCACCACAGACTTTTTAAGCTTGTTGTTTTTCCAAGCTACGCGTACGCCCAGTTTTGATTTTTAACCAATGTTTTTCCTGGTTTTTCGGAGGAACGAGGCTCATACTACTGCATTATCTATGTGACTAATGTTCCTCTGTGATGCACTGAAGAACTTACGGAATGAAAAAGAATTTGGAGCGTTTGCGCGATCTGAGGATGTGGCAGGGATGACGTCACCGATCACGTCACCGTGTGCCAGCCTGGTCCTGCTGGGCGGCCGTCCGCCTGGCGCCCGCCTGACGCCTGTGCCGCGCCGCTCGGCAGGGCAACGGCCGCTCGTCCCGGCCGCGACGCTACGAGATCCGCGACGGCGAGGCGGCCGACTACACGGCGGCCGACCTGCAGCCCAGCACCTCCTACCTGTTCCGGGTGGGTGGACGCGCCGGCCGCCGGGCTCTGTCCCACGCCTCTGTTCGCCCCGGGCCTTGGTCGGCTGGTGGGAGAGGTGGCGGCGAGAGACATGAGATATCGCCGGGAGAAGGGGTGGATGCTCCGGCGGCTGTTGGGTGGGCGTGGTGTTGGGTGGGCTGTTGGGTGGGGTGGCGTGGTCGTGCGGTGTCATGCGAGCGCACGCAGGGTTGTCGGTGTCGGTGTTGACGTGGTGCGCGGACAGCGCTGCTGGCCTTGCAACGAAAGCAAGCTACATGCGCTGCCTGGGTCGTCGCAGTCTACTCTGTAAGCTGGCCACCAGTTGGGGTGATGGCCGACCGGTGCCTGTGGTGTGCTCTGGTCGCTCCGTGCGGTGCTCTCCTTGGGCGCGGCCGACCATCGTCTGACGCCTGCGGCCGTGTCGGCGAGCCTGAGCTGTGTCGATGCGCCGCCGCCAGGTGTCGGCACTCACTCGCAAGGGGGACGGCTCGCGCAGCGACGCGGCGCGCGCCACCACACAGGGCAGCGTGCCCAGCCAGCCCGACGTGCACATCAAGTGAGTGGCTGCGGTGCGAGCGGCGCCCGCAGTGTGCGCTGCACCGGACCGGCTCTTGGCGGCGGCGAGACGTCCCTGGCTGAAATCGTGCGCTCTGACCACGGTTGATGAGTACTGCAATGAGTGCTGTCTTGATGGGTACTGTAATGAGTACTGTGTTGGTGAGTACTGTAATGAGTACTGTGTTGGTGAGTGCTGTAATGAGTACTGTGTTGATGAGTACTGTAATGAGTACTGTGTTGGTGAGTACTGTAATTAGTACTGTGCTGATGAGTACTGTAATGAGCACTGTGTTGATGAGTACTGTGGTCGTGGTGCTTCAGGGAAATGCTGAAAGCCGGAAGAGTGTGGACCGACAGTGGGCGCCAGCTCGTCAGGGACTGACCGATGCGCACGTGTCCGGCAGAGTGATCAAGGAGGAGGAGCGGGTGACGCTGGACGTGGAGTGGTCTCGCCCGACCGAGACGCACGGTGTGTTACTCGGCTACCGGCTGCGCTACGGCCGGACGGGCGACGCCGCCAGGCTCAGGGAGGTCACCATCGCCGGAAACACGACCCAGTACAAACGGCTCAGCGGCCTGGGTTAGTCTGCCCTCGAACGGCCAATTCGCATGTCTCCTCTCCGCCCCGAACCGCCACCGCCCTCGTGGGTGGGTGTGGGTGTGAGCGTGAGTGTGAGTGTGAGTGTGGGTGTGGGTGTGGGTGTGGGTGTGGGTGTGGGTGTTGGTGGGTGCGTGTGTCCGCGTACGCACGCGCACACGCATGCACGCGCGCGCTTCCGGTGGCGTAGCTGGCAACGCGCTGTCGTGCGCCCTTCTCGCACCGCCGTGTACCGGACACGTGCCCGCCGAGTCCTGAGTCCCGGCGTAAGTACTGTCGTGGTTCCTGTAGTGAGTCCTGTCATGAGTCCCGCCGTGAGTACTGTCGTGGTTCCTGTAGTGAGTCCTGTCATGAGTGCCGCCGTAAGTACTGTCGTGGCTCTTACAGTGAGTCCTGTCATGAGTGCCGCCGTAAGTACTGTCGTGGCTCCTGGAGTGAGTCGTGTCTTGAGTCCCGCCGTAAGTACTGTCGTGGCTCCTGCAGTGAGTCCTGTCATGAGTCCCGCCGTAAGTACTGTCGTGGTTCCTGTGATGAGCCCTGTCATGAGTCCCGCCGTACGTACTGTCGTGGTTTGTGTAGTGAGTCCTGTCATGAGTCCGGCCGTAATTCCTGCCGTGAGTCAGACCTGAGTCGGTTGGCTGGCCCGAGCTGAGCCGTCGCGGCCGGCCGGCAGAACGTGGCGTCGAGTACGAGTTTCGCGTGAGCGGCCGGAACGACGTCGGCCACGGCCAGGAGCAGATCATCACGTACAACGCGAGCGAGGGCGCGCCGTCCGGCCCCGTCACCAACGTCACGTTCAGGTGGGTGGCGGCCGGGCGGGGCGCCGCTGCCGACGCGCCAGCAGTGGCGACTCAGTACCTGGCCAGCTTAGCCGCCAGGAAACATGGTGTGTGGGCTGTGGGGGAGGAAGGGCAGGAAGTAAACAAATTTGCCCTTTTCAATGACCAAATTTGACCAAACGACCAATACATTTCTGAAATGGGCACAAAATGACCATTGCAGTCGGCGCGCCCTAAAACACCAAGACACAACAGTAGCACCCTGTGGTTTTTTCTGGGTTCATGCATTTCATATAATGTAATCAATGAATCTATTGATGTCCTACGATTGTTTTCTCTAGCTTTTGCGCAGAATTGTACTCCTTAACATTCTGGATGCCTTTTTAGCCATTTATTGTATGTTGTTGCTACAAAACTACAGGATGTCAGCGACAATTGTTCGGAGATGATAAAATACATTCTTACATATAGTATTTGTTATTCTGCGGCTATGCTCGCTTTGGGGGCATTTCGGACCATTGTGTGCTTTCGGCTCCAAAACACGCCTAATTTGCCAATGTACCAATCGTTGTTGGCGCCAGCGGATTTTGCGCTTAGCGAGGAATGTAATGCGATCTTGGTACCTTGTCTCGTGTGGTCTTCCGCGCAATAATGATTTACTCGAGTCGCTTCCGCTCTCGCTATTGACCCTTGGCTGGGATGACTTGCGGTCGGTGGTAGCGGCCCGCCCAAGGTCACATGAGGCTATAGGGCGCAGTGGACTGTGCCGAGGATTGTGACACGCCAAACTTCCGCACAGAATTCTGCCTTTGACCTGAAACTTTACGATCGCCTGGTGAGACCAAGGTTCACAGAACATGGGCTGTTTAGCGTGAACTTACGGACGCCAGAAACCCATGCCACCTTAATGCTCCGATGAAATGAAAAAATGAGATGAAACAATAGTAAAACGGGTCATATAAAAGGGTAAAACAGGCTCACAGGTTCACAGGTTCACAAACAGATAAAACGGGTTTAGGCCACATTTGCATTGGGCGAACAGATCGCTGCAGGTATTGCGGCTAGAATGGGAGCGGGCTTTGCTGTGCCGTGTCCACGTAATTAAAAGCTCATCCTGGCGGCCTCCATTCGGACCTCTCGACGTGCCTGATCCGTTGTCACGCACGGGGGAGCACGCGGCTGTCGGCCATAAGTAAAACCGGGACACGGGTTTGCGGATGACGACGCGTTTGCCACAGGTGCTGCTGGTGCTAGTTTTTCGGCGGGCGATGTCGGACTGACCGTGCCCTCCCGCGGGTGATGTCGTGCCCTCCGGCGGGTGATGTCGTACTGACCATGCTCTCCGACGGGTGATGACGTGCCCTCCGGCGGGCGATGTCGGACTGACCGCGCCCGCCGGCGGTGTGTCGCCAGATTTCAGGCGACCGATCGGGTGGCGTTCACCTGGGATCCGCCGCGATCGGACCAGCGAAACGGCAAGATCACCGGCTACAGTGTGCAGCTCCACAAGGAGGGCAACCTCGACCACGTGGAGCGGATGCACCCCAACGACACCAAGGTTTGCGACATCCGGTCCCGTGCGTGCCTCCCATCTCTTCCCTGTCCTGGCATGGCTGGCAGAGGCCGACGCATTAGGCCGACTCCGGCTGGTATAACAAACTGAACTTCAGTGCTTGAGAGCTAGTCCAGCACTGCTCTCACACTGTCAGATAAGTATGGACCCTTTTCGTGCGGGGCCTCGTTGGCGGCCGCGGTGATCAAAGAACGCCTTTGTTTTAATCGTCAGGTGTTCGGTGTACCGTGACGTACGGTAGCGTTGCGAGCGATGGCGGCGCGCTCTCCTCGGCGTGCAGTCGTGCTGCCCGTCAGGCCGCCGTGTGCCGTGCAGGTGGTGTTCACCAAGCTGGAGGAGAGCACGGCGTACGTGTTCCGGGCGCGCGCCAACACGTCGGTGGGCGCCGGGCCGTGGAGTGCGCCCTTCTCGGTCAGCACCGAGAGTGACCTGGTGCGGCCCGCCCATCAACCTGCGCGCCATGGCCACCAGCTTCTCAAGCGTCGAGGTGTGGTGGGAGCACGTGCACACCGCCACACAGATCGTCGGATACCAGGTCAGTAGGCGAGACCCGGGGCCGAGACGGCGCCACGCCGCGGCCGCCCAACCGGCGCGAGCGTCATGTGGCGGGCGGGTATGTCTGTTGGTGGGGTGGGGCCGCGGCTCATCGCAAGCGTTCGCTTCGTCTCCGATGCCATACGTCCTGTCCATCTCCTGTTTGCTGTCCGTAAAGGGAATATTCCACATTGGAAGATATGGAATCAAGCATCAGATTTGATGAAATAAGCTCATGTATTACTCTCGTTATGTTTTTAATTGGAAAAGATTGCTCTAGGCAACAAAGCTTCTTTTTTTGTAAAGATGCTCATCGATAGATCACCTTTTGATTACGTCATGAAACGCTTGTGTGACGGCACTCACTAGTTCTTCAATCCCCCGGCAGTTAGCCTCCCGGGTGGTGATGATGGCTGTGTGCTGAACCAAATATCGTTACGACGGGACTCGCGACATGACAAATAGCGTGCTCGTGTTTTGGCCCTTGCTGGTGTTCTGGCATATTGTTTTCCGTGATTCTAAGCTGTGTACTTTATTGACCTCTCGGCTATAGCGCTTTTCTTAAGTTTGTCGATTACAGGTCTTTTTCCGCACTAAATAGGCAGGATGCATGACTTCTTGTATTTCTCAGCACAAAACGTAATTCGTGAAGAATATCCGACCGACCCTCTTATCGTCTTATCGTATTTCTTACATCATCTTGCATGCTCGCAATGCCCCGCTTGTCCGGGGCAGGGTGCATACATCAGTCGCGTGTTGGCCGAGCGGCCCCTGCAGGGATCCTCGACCTGGCTCTCCCTTACACAACATTGAGTGAGAGCCAGTTGACGGCCGTTATATCTGGCAAGCGCACTCACGAGTGTTACATGTGAATGGCTCGACAATTATATTTGCTTGACCTTGAACGCCGCGTGGCCAGTTGAATGGCAGGATTTGAATGACACTGTGCCGTCAAGGATGGCTTGGCAATCTTGAAATAGTTGGCACGAAGTAGTATGTGCATTAGGGTGTCATCAGTAACAAAACCAAGTGAGACAAAGAAGTTTTCGCGCAGGGGTCCAAAAGTACACGACGTAGCAAAAGTTATTATCAAAAACTTAATTTCGTGACGCGCGAGACGACCAAAATATCGCTGTAAACTGATGCCCGGCGTTGCAGTCACCCAGTCCTGGGCGGCGTCCGCCACCGCAGGTAACACCAGGCCGTGGGCGGCGAGTGTTACAAAATACCAGTGCGTATGGAAGCGATGCTACCGAGCGCTCCTTAGACTGTCGTACGAGATTGTCTCGGTCTAAGGTCTAATATGCGGATCCGACATTGGCCGATTGGTTCACGTATGGCGAAAACTCTACGTGCTGTTGAGAATGAGCTCGCACGGGTATCTTCGTTAGTGCTGCTTTAGATTTTCACTTCTCAAAGACAACTCCCGTGATGCAAACAATACCATGCACAGCATATGACTCAGAATATATTGTTTGTGTACAACTTAATGCATATAGCAGCTTGTACCAGGTGAGTACAGAGGGGAAGGGGTAGGGTGCCCCCATGCACAGCTTACTCCCGGCCGAGCCTGCGTATTCGATGCACCGGCCCAAACAGCAACTGCTCACAGACTGGAAACCCAAAACGCCTGTTGGCAGAGATCGCGCGGTAGCAGAAATACCTTCGCAACTGGGCTCCACATATTGCCGAAGCTCCAGCTCCAGTCGCAGACGTCCTCGGCAGTGCGGCGCTGCGTCGCACTCCTAGTGTGAACCAGATAGGGCAAGATGGCCAGCGGTGTCTGCACTTTGTACCGCAGCTCGTAGTCGCCGACGTCTCGCATTGGAGGCTGTGTGACTGGTCCGTGCCAGGGAATCAGTTCGGTGTACCTCACGTCCTCGAAGTTTACCGCTGAGATGGCGAAGACCCTGGGCTGAAGAAGACCCTCGGTTTGCTGCTCACGAGCGGCGCGACGATCGGAACCGCGTGTTCACGGACCATGCGGTTCTCATCCCACACAATGTCCAGCAGCAGCTGTTTCGGACGGACCCAGCACCCGCTACGCTGGATGACTATGTGTGCTGCGGCAAGTCGCGGAGCCCCGCGATGTTTCGGGACAAGTTGCGTAAGCCAAAGTCGCAGCCGCTGTTTTGCCGGATGGCGGACCATACCGGCACATAGTGGCCGACCACGCACTGGACGAGGTCCTGGAGAGCGTTGCTGGAGGTCTCGGTAGGGATGTAAGCTAGGAGCAGGCCAGCGGCCAGTGTCAACCATCTGAAGACAAAAGTGAATATATTAGAACATTTTGTTGCGAACTGAACATTAAATCGTACAAAAAGTGTTGCAGCTGTTTATTGAATGCAGTTATGCCGATATCTAGAGTCTTTAAATGTGACGGAACACGTATCAACAAATGTACTAGTAAGCATGAACCTACGAGCAAGTGATGCGACGTGCTACGGCCCAAGGTATGATAACAAGTAACTGCTCAAAAGTGAGCGCATGAAAGGTCAATCGGTGCGAGGTCAGTTTAAACACTCCTGTTGTTAATTCGGGGATAATGCGTTTTCATATTTACCTGACGTGGTTCCATGTTCCGATTTGTCGCTGGGCTGCCACGCTTTGGACAGAGCCGTTTTGAACGTCGGAGGCCAGAAGGTACAGCAGCTGCTAGCTGGTGCCGAGCTGCTGGATCAGGTCGACCGGCAGGTTTGGCACGTGCCCGGCATAGGCTTGAATGCCACAACGTCCCTCTCCCAGACCTCTCCGGCACAGGTCTTGCCGATGGGTTTAGAAAAGAATCGATCCCGCGGTCGTGCCGTCCAAGGTCAGCAGTAGGTGGAGGAGGTTCAGCTCGTTGCCGTATAGCTGGCAGATGAACCGGTTTACGGGTGACTCGGTGGTCAGCTCAAGCAACCGGAACACGTCGCCTATCGTCTCGGTGTTGACGACCGTGCCATCGCAGCCGAGCACATTGGTGTGACCGTCGCACTGCGGGCTCACGGAGCGTAGGTCGTTGAGCAAGTGCAGGGTGCGGCCGAACTCGGGCGTAAAATGAGTCAGGTAGTGGCTGCCGGGCTCAGCGATGGCAACCACGTGTTTTTCGACGGCATTCGTCAGGCTCCGTGTGGTTCATGTAGTTCCTGTCTTCACGGCCGTCGAAGTAGAGGATGACTCATGGATTGCTTCAGCATTTTAACGAGCCGTCTCCTATCTCGCCCTGCATCTTGCGCAGCAGATCTTACGATCTACGATATTATATTTCAAGTACCCAGTCCGTCTCTGCTGTCTTGTTGAAAGGCGATGATAGCAGCAGCGACCCGTTGCGAGCCACCATAGCTGTCAACCGCCAGAGCGGTGTTAGATCGTTAACGCCATAATCTACAGTGGCAGCGGTCTCAACAGGAACGAACAATCAGTCTCGTCGCCACCTCCTACCATGTACGGAACCGTGCAAGAATCCGTGCTCTCAGCTGACACGCCAGCGCTGAGACCACTTGGTCCCGGAGCAGGCTTGGGGTCAGCACTAGCAGCTAGCGCTAGGTCAGCGGCGGCACGGGCTCAGCAGTCGACGGGGAAGGCGACTCAGGTTCAGCAGCAGACACTGCCTCAATGGCGGCCGAGCCACGACGCCCCTGGAGTTGTCTGGCCATCCTCCGCGCCTCGCAAGCCTCCCTAGTCACAATCGTATCCCGGTCATATGACCCCAGGGTAAGCTTCCGGTACCTGCACTGGTCCTTCATGGCAACCTCCTCCTGGTACACTGTGCAGGCAACTGGGCATGGGAAGCTGCACTGAGGCTTGCACTTGTATTTTGCGACATCAAAAAGGTTGCTTCATTTCGCGGTGGCGGCGTTGCTGCGTCACTCTCTTTCTTTCGTTGATTTCTTGTTGATAGCTCTGTTGGGCTTATATGAATCCCTCTCGGTCAATTTTGTCAGGTATTTTGAATCATGGACAGGGATCGTTTCGTTGGTCCACAGCACCCTAATTTCTATCGTCGTGGTTTTGAAGATGGTATTAGTGAGATTCCTCTTCGATTCGCTCAGCCACCTGATGTAGCTCAAGGCTTTCCCGTAGTCGGCTGTTAGTGGTGGGACGGTAGGGCCGAGTGGCTTATCACAAAATGTTTTTTTTTTTACGCGACCGTGGAGTCTTTGGCATGCTTATGCAAGTAATTGTTCGAAAGAAATATTTCTATACCGGAAAAACTAAACGAATAAACCCATATCGCACACACAACAAGCATAGAAATTGCAAACCAACATCACAATGATGCGTTAGCAACCGCAAACTTAAATCTACCTCGGTCTGCTCGCGATACATATTTGGTTGCACCGAAAATTAATGTCCTTTAATGAAAAGTCGCCTAAGCTATTTGGCAATGTTTTGCTGGTGCTCTTCGTGATGTTCATTTCATGCTTAATTCAACAGGTGCCAGTCGTGTAGAAAGTGGCAAGTTTGAGGCTTGTTGGAATAAGATCCCAGTGCGTAAAGTTGGTGGCGCTACTATCGAATACGATTTTCTTGGCCTGTAAAAAGAAATTGCTCTCGCGTCACGAATATTAACATTGGTGCGGTGCGACAGAACTGAAAACGTATCATTAATCCGTGTGTCAAGGAAAAACTTTTGTCTCAGTTGATTCCAAGAGATTTGCCCCCACGATAACGCACCGTAATGTACATTCTCGCGGGCGGGCGTGTAGATCAGAAACTGGCGGGGTCTATGTCGTGAGAATAACAGGGCTGTGAACTAAGCCGAATGCTCTCCAAGCATTTCCGTTCAAAACCCCAGACGAATGTGGAACAATCCCTTTAAGCATCTGCATCTGTATGTCGGTGAGGAGGCACGCCTGTCGTTACACTATCCGGCGCCTCAGAGTGCTGCCGTGCGGTCGGGTCCTCGGGCGGGGGCGGTCGGGTCCTCGGGCGGGGTCCTCGGCGGGGGCGGTCGGGTCCTCGGGCGGGGGGCGGTCGGGTCCTCGGGCGGGGGCGGTCGGGTCCTCGGGCGGGGGCGGTCGGGTCCTCGGCGGGGGCGGTCGGGTCCTTGGGCGGGGGCGGTCGGGTCCTCGGGCGGGGGCGGTCGGGTCCTCGGGCGGGGGCGGTCGGGTCCTCGGGCGGGGGCGGTCGAGTCTCGGGCGGGGGCGGTCGGGTCCTCGGGCGGGGGCGGTCGGGTCCTCGGGCGGGGGCGGTCGGGTCCTCGGGCGGGGGCGGTCGGGTCCTCGGGCGGGGGCGGTCGGGTCCTTGGGCGGGGGGCGGTCGGGTCCTCGGGCGGGGGGCGGTCGGGTCCTCGGGCGGGGGCGGTCGGGTCCTCGGGCGGGGGCGGTCGAGTCCTCGGGCGGGGGCGGTCGGGTCCTCGGGCGGGGGCGGTCGGGTCCTCGGGCGGGGGCGGTCGGGTCCTCGGGCGGGGGCGGTCGGTCCTCGGGCGGGGGCGGTCGGGTCCTGGGCGGGGGCGGTCGGGTCCTCGGGCGGGGGCGGTCGGGTCCTCGGGCGGGGGCGGTCGGGTCCTGGGGGGGCGGTCGGGTCCTGGGCGGGGGCGGTCGGGTCCTCGGGCGGGGGCGGTCGGGTCCTCGGGCGGGGGCGGTCGGGTCCTCGGGCGGGGGCGGTCGGGTCCTCGGGCGGGGGCGGTCGGGTCCTCGGGCGGGGGCGGTCGGGTCCTCGGGCGGGGGCGGTCGGGTCCTCGGACGGGGGCGGTCGGGTCCTCGGACGGGGGCGGTCGGGTCCTCGGGCGGGGGCGGTCGGGTCCTCGGACGGGGGCGGTCGGGTCCTCGGACGGGGGCGGTCGGGTCCTCGGGCGGGGGCGGTCGGGTCCTCGCTCGGCGGCGGTCGGCCGCCGTGGTCGCCCTGTGGACCGTGACAAGCCGGACGGCCGCCAGGTGTTCTACGCCATGGCGCCCGGGACGGACCTAGACGCCTGGTCGTTCAAGAAGGTGCCGATCACCACGTCTGCTGAGCTGAAGAACCTGGACAAGCACGCCCAGTACGCCATCGCGGTGGCCGCGCGCAGCAAGTCGGTAAGCGACGGGTCGGGCGCGACTTAGAGGCGTCCGGGGCTGCTGGCCAGGTAGCTCTGGCCGGCCACCGGCTCCGAGTCCGGTCAGGGATGTGCTGGTGGTCTATGTGGTGCCACTTCATTTTGTTTCGGTGTTAAGCACAGAACCCATAGTGTGTGGGGCGTGTTTTGCCAGGAAGGCATGCTGTCTTCGTCCCGTTGTACGAGACCGAGTATTGCATGCGCGTCAGAATGTCCGTGAGCAGCAGTCTCACAAATGTCTGATGTGGCCGTGTCGACACGATTGCTGTTGGACTGTATTGAAAATCACACCACTTTTGAAATAAAACGCCTGGGCTGGTCCTCGAACCTGACCCTCTCCCTGGACATGACCCGCTCCCTAGACCTGACTAGCGACTCAGACCTGACCCGGTCCTTGGACCTCACTCGTCTTGGACCTGGCCCGCGGCGTCTGCCCCCAGGGTCTGGGCCGTCTCTCGGACCTGATCCGCGGTGTCTGCCCCCAGGGTCTGGGCCGTCTCTCGGACCTGATCCGCGTGCGCGTGAATCCAATCGACGTGCCGCTGAACCTGCACGCGCTCAACGTGCGCGCGCACGGCATGTCGCTGACGTGGCGCCGGCCGGCGCACCTTGACCCGCGCAACTACCGCATCCGCTACGACGCTGTCAAGGAGTTCCTCGATGCCGAGGGCGTAACACAGTCGCGTCGCATCGAGCCGCGCTCGCTGATCCTGGACGCCAAGCGGTGCGAAAAGAGGAGCGTCTGCCGCAAGCAGATCGAGGACCTGGAGCCGTTCACCACGTACACGGTGAACGTGACGGCCGTGCCCGACGACAACGGCTACCGCGCGCCGGCCAAGATCCGCGTCACAACTCAGATGGCCGGTAGGTCAGGCGCCAGCGGCGGCGGCGGCGGCGACGCTGCGCGTCTGACTGAGTGGGAGGAGTGAGGGGGCTCTGCGCGGCAGACGGACGACGGGAGGTGTTCTAGAGCGCGAGAATCGGCCCCAGGTGACAGATCGTCCGGGGCGGAGGCGCTTGTACGTTATGGCCCTCATTGTGAGATGGGAAGCCTAGTCAGCTGCTTTCACGAGCCTTTTCTGACTGTGTTGTGGCGCTGGCGTGATCGGGAGGCTTGTTCATGTCACTGTCGTTGGCGATAGACGACCAACAACCGCTCAATCGTGCTCGTTTGTCACGTGGAGCCGGTACGTCGCTAGGTCAGCCCGATGGTCAGAGGGACGTGACCTGCACATGTGACCGCCGTTCGGTGACCGGCCTCCCTGCACAGCCAGACGACTGTATCACTGTCAGCGTGGACTGTGTCTGACGCGCACGCCTTCCGCTGTCCTTGCCGTGATTGGTCTGTTGTGCGGCCGGCCTGAGTGCCGTCTGCGCGTCTCTGCAGCGCCGCAGCCGATGGCGAAGCCCGACCCGCTGGGCGTGCGCAACCAGAATGTGATGGTGATCCTGCCGCGTGCCTCGGAAGAGTACGGCCCCATCTCGCACTACCTTGTCGTGGTGGTGCCTGAACACGACGTCAGGGACCATCCGGATTCGCACAGCACAAAGAAGGTGAGCGGCGGCGGCGCGGCGGGCGCTGCCTCGCTGCAGCGCCCGCCGCGCAGAGCTCACAGCCGGCAGCGCGGCTCGAGCAGGCCCAGCTCGCGGCTGAAGGGTCGAGCCGGGCCGACGTCCGCCCTCGCGCTGCTCTCGCCAGCAGCCGCAGGCCGAGCGCAGGCGGCCGACCGAAAGCGCGCATGTGGCAGGCGCCGCGCGGTCGGCACCCTGCCGTCGACGCCGGTCGGTCACTCGGCCTCTCCCGCCGCCAGATGGTGGAGGCGAAGCGCTCCGAGCTGATGCCCAACTACCGGCCGTACATCACCGCCATGTTCCACCAGCGCAGCATCCCGTACACCTTCGCGCTCGGGGACGGTCGCAAGTACGACGGCTTCGTCAACAAGCCGCTGGAGAAGGGCAAGAAGTACCGCATCTTCGTGCGTGCCGTCGTGGACATGCCGGCGGAGGTCAGTGGGGGGGGGGGGGGGGGAGGTGCGGCTCGTGTGGCTGAGGCAGCTGAAGCAGGCGGCGGCGGGTGCCACTCCTCATTGGCGACTACGGTGCCGTGACCAAGACACTGTCCGGCTCGGATACGTCTCTTGGCTTTGGCCGGAAGAGGTAACCGACGGTTTGTTGCGTGGTCTTGAGTGCCGGTTTTACACGGCTGTTGAGCCGCCATATGCTGTGGTGCCGTCTGTGTCAGGTCTGTGGGGGACTGTGCAGCTGAGTTCCGTCTGTCGGCCTCTGTAGCGGCCGGGCATCTCATCCTGCCCACTGTGCTGCTGTCAATCTGACGTGACTTCCTCCGGCTTTCGGTAGCCGTCCGCGTCCAGTCCGTACTCAGAACTGCCCTGTCCACACTCCACGTGACCTGACCGGAGCCGTCACCTCGTGCAGGACCTGTTCACATCCAGTCCGTACTGCCCTGTCCACACTCCATGTGACCTGACCGGAGCCGTCACCTCGTGCAGGACCTGTTCACGTCCAGTCCGTACTCAGAATTGCTCAGTCTGGACATGAAGCGGCCGCGGGCGGGCGCGTCGTACTCCTCGTCCAGCCTGGTCTGGGTGGTGGGTCCGACGGCCGTCGGTCTGTTGCTGCTCATCATCCTGGTGCCGTACATCGTCATCGCCGCCAGGAGGTGAGTGGGCCGAGCGTCGCCGCTCCGCTGCCGCGCGTGATTCGGTGGGACGGGAAGCCGGACGCCCCGGAGCCCAAGGGGGCGCGGCGTGGCGACTGCAGGCTGGGGCGCAGGCGGGGTCGTGATGAGCGGCTTGAGTTGGTGGCACGGCCTGCTGCCAGCGGTACTGGCGATCTGCGACTAGATATATATCACACCAACCTGAAGCAGGGGCAACGGAAGTAGCCTTGACCATTCAATGACCTACGTTTTGTATTGGTCTCTGGTCGTGCTTCCCGGTATGACCAGAGCACAGCAGTTGTGCTCAGCCTTGGCTTAGGTCTGCCCTGGTTGTCTGGTTAACATGATCGTGACCTGTCCATTGGTGAGCTCTCTGGCGTTCTCTTCACCGGACCAGATCTGTCTGACGTCCCCTTCCGCGCCAGGTGTGGCAGGCGGCGCCAGTTGCAGAGGTCGCCAGAGCCAGCCACCGTGATGAAGCCGCCGATGTGCGACATGGCGGCGCCGGCCAGACACTCGCAGACCGACCCGGCCGAGGTCCGGCGCCAGAACCTCCAGACGCCCGGCATGATACCGCACCCACCCGTACACGTTAGCCAGCTGGCCGACCACGTGGAAGCGCTCAAGGCCAACGACAACAGCAAGTTCTCGCAGGAGTACGAGGTGCACCCCCGGGGGACTCGGGGTTGCACGGCTTGCACGGCTCGTACGGCGAGGGAGTTGGGGCGGGTGGACGCGTTGGGGTGAGATGAGCGGCTCATGTCGGTATGGGGGTCATGCCGTGGCGAACGTGACCGATCTGTGACACGCCGCCTCCCGCCGCGTGGGCGAACGTCACCGACCTGTGACACGCCGCCTCCCTCCGCGTGGGCGAACTTCACTGATTTGTGACACGCCGCCTCCCTCCGCGTGGCCAAACGTCACCGACCTGTGACACGCCGCCTCCCGCCGCGTGGGCGAACGTCGCATTCTGTCCGGAGTCCCACTGACCGCGCCGCTCCCATCGCTCTGTCGGCAGTCGATCGAGCCGGGTCAGCAGTTCACCTGGTTCAACTCCAACCTGGACAAGAATCAGCCCAAGAACCGATATGCTAACATATTAGCGTACGACCACTCGCGCGTGGTGCTGCAGTCGGAGGAGGGGCTGGCGGGCAGCGACTACATCAACGCCAACTTCTGCGACGGCTACCTCAAGCACAATGCCTACATCGCCACCCAGGTGCGTCTCGGCCGCCGGAGGGGAGGGGACATCGGCTTCAGCGAGGTCGTATGGCATCATTTCACTGCTCTGGGCGTTCTGTTCATGATGGGAACTGTACATGTGCTGTATGGAACTGTAGGGAACATGATGGGACCCATGATGGGAACTGTAGTGAGCGTTGAGTCATTCAAACGCATTTGTGTCGTCCCTTGTGAGGCTTGTATGTACTGTCGCCGTCAGCCGCTGCTGGGCTGGGGTCTGGGTGCTTTCGAGACCACCGGTGGCTGAGGGGTGCTTTGTCTGAACCCGCCGTACCTGAACCCGGTCGTGTCGACACCCCACCGTGTCTGACCCCTCTGTGTTTGAACCCCGCCGTGTTTGACCCCCACCGTATCTGAATACCGCCGTGTTTGACCTGGTTGTGTATGAACCCCGCGGTGTTTGACCGCACCACGGCCGGTGCCGCAGGGCCCGCTGCCCGAAACGTTCTCCGACTTCTGGCGCATGGTGTGGGAGCAGCGCAGCTTCACTATCGTCATGATGACGCGCCTGGAGGAGCAGGCGCGCATCGAGTGCGATCAGTACTGGCCCACCAAGGGCACGAAGTCGTACTGGCCCATCCACGTGACGCTCACAGACAGTCAGGAGCTGGCCAGCTACGTGGTCCGCACCTTTCAGCTGCAACGGGTACGTGCCGTCCCGCGTGAGCCCGCGTGTGACTGGCGCCGCGTGAGCCCGCGTATGACTGGCGCCGCATGAGCCCGCGTGTAACTGGCGCCGCGTGAGCCCGCGTGTGACTGACGCCGCGTGAGCCCGCGTGTGACTGACGCCGCGTGAGCCCGCGCATGACTGGCGCCGCGTGAGCCCGCGTATAAATGGCTCCGTGTGAGCCCGCGTGTAACTGGCGTGATCGGCAGGCCGATTCGCTGGAGCGGCGCGAGGTGCGCCAGTTCCAGTTCACGGCATGGCCTGACCACGGCGTGCCCGACCACCCGACGCCGTTCCTGCTGTTCCTGCACCACGTCAAGGCGCTGAACCCGGCCGACGCCGGGCCGATGGTGACGCACTGCTCGGCTGGTGTGGGCCGCACCGGGTCAGTGGGCGACCCGCTGAGCCGCCGGCAGCCCCGCGACAGCACCGAGCCGGCCACGGTGGGCCTCATCGCTCCGGCAGAGGCTCGGGTCGCGTTGCGGGCCGTGTTGCTTGTAGGGCTGCCCTTATGTTAGCCGTGACATCTTATTCACAAGTCGTTGGCGGGGATTGGCGGCGCTCGCAAGTCTGGGGTTCAGCGACGCGCCGCCGCCGCTTGTCGGGCGACAGATGTGCGGCGACGCGCGCGTCCACGCAGGAGTCACGGCGCTGACGGCCGCCTCCGGACGGCAGGTGCTTCATCGCCATCGACAGCATGCTGGAGCGCATCCGCTCCGAGGCCACGGTTGACGTCTACGGTCACGTGACTTGCCTGCGAGCCCAGCGCAACTACATGGTGCAGACCGAGGACCAGGTGCGCGCCGGCTGAGGACACGGCCGCGCTCCGTCTCAGAGCGCGGCGCTCTGAGACGGACACTGCGGGTGTGGCAGAACTCCTAGGTTAACGCGGAACTCTTCGTCTGGAATGTGTTGGCCGTGTTCCGATGTGGTGGTGGGTCATGCCAGCGGTTGGCTGCCCAGTGAAAGTTCCGTTCGAACTGCGTCACCAGCATCTTCCCCGGCTGGTCTGCTCGCCAACCCAGGTCTGTCCTGATGCTGATGCTGGTGCAGGCTGTCACGTGCTGTGCTGGGCGCCGGCTCGGCCGGCCCCCCGCTGACGTCAGCCACGGCCCTGCCGCCAGTACATTTTCATCCACGACGCGCTGCTGGAGTCGCTGGTGGCCGGCAACACGGAGGTACCGGCACGTAACCTGCAGGCCTTCACATCGCAGCTGCTTCCGCCGACCGGACCCGGCGACAACATCACCGGCATGGAGCTCGAGTTCCAGGTGCGTGCGGCGCGCGCCGAGCGGCGGCGGCTCCGTCTCCGGCCGGCCGGGCCGTCCTGGCTCCGGTCAGGCATGGTACCGGCTCCAAACTTGCTTTCATACGTCACGCGCAGTGAGCGCCCCTGTGCCTTGCGTCCGTATATTTCTGAGCGTATCTTTGACACTGGTTCCGGTGCTGATCACACCTGGTTCCCTAAAGCCGTGTTTATCACGTCATCGCGATAGCGCGAGTATAATTATATATGGATGCACCAATGGGTCTATAGCAGAATGACCCGATACACCTGAGCCGGGCAAAACAGTGAACATAAAACGCGCTGACTGCGGCGGTAGAACAGAGAGGCAACAGACGTATGCTCTGACTTCTTGCACCTGAAGCTAAACCGTAATCAGCACGCTGGAGCCGTGGATACCGGTCCCTCGGTGCGTCCGCAGAACGGACCGGGCCTCGGCGGCTGAGAGGAGTTCTGACTATCCGTCGGTGAGTCACATGCGTGGACTTCATTGTCACTTGTTGCCCGTCGTGTGGTTCCGTAACGGGTGCAACGGCGCGCCCCGCCCCGCAGGATCAGCACTGGACTGGTCCCGCCCCGCAGGATCAGCACTGGACTAGTCCCGCTCCGCAGGATCAGCACTGGACTGGTCCCGCTTCGCAGGATCAGCACTGGACTGGTCCCGCCCTGCAGGATCAGCATGTACCGACGGCGTTCGCGTACCGAGCGGCGCTCGAGTGCCTCAACACGCTCGACCACGTAGTGCTCGAGCGTGAGCCGCAGCGGCGATTGAGCGAGCGAGCCTGCCGGCCGGGCGCCTGCGACGGTGCCGACATATCAGGGCGGCGCGGCCGACTGCAGCAGCACCGCCGCCAAGGCCCACATTTCCCCTGCCCGCGACCGCCATACGTGACGTGATACGGCGGGCGGCCGGGCTCAGCCATGCGCACAAGGTGCTGTACACAAGGCCGCTGTACATACGCCCGTTGGCATAACGAGAGGTAACGTGCCGCGCCGCGGTGCGGTGCGCCAAACATGTGTAAGATGTTGTGGCGGCGTGCCCGTCGCACATATCAGTGACGCCCGCCTGATGCATGTTCGCTAGCCGCGTCCCGGGCTCCGCTGCCGAGTCGACAGCCGGAGCACGGTCCTGATCTTTCTTCTGCGTTTTAGATTATCTGTACGCTGCATTTTGTCGGCGAGACGGTTCGAAGGGATTTTATTTGCACATGGTGTTCGTCTCCTCGTGACGTGTCGGCGGCTGGCGTCACGGCGACGGTGGCGGCGCCGCCAGGCCCTGCGTGCCGGGGGCCGCTCGTGCGGCCCGTGTGGTCGGGCGCCGCGCGTCCGGCTGCGAGCGGACGCCCGCGCCAGCGCCGGCGCCGGCCGCCCTGCCCCCGCTCCCCGGCCCGTCGGCCGCCCACACCCGATCAGTTTTGTAATAGCATGTTTCTACACAGACATACATTGTATTTTTGAAGAAGGCGTCGTCTTCTGAGAACGCGTTGCTTGGAATTCAGGAATGTATTTCTGACTGATTGGCGTGATCCAGCGGGCAGTGCAAGACACACTGCAACAACTCGAACGGAGCGGCACGAGTTTGCTGGCGGTGTTTCTCTCACTTGATTTATTTGAACGTCATCACTTAGCGACATCGCTCAACGGACACGGTCTTAAGCGGCGACGCCACACACCGAGTGTCGATCTAAAAACCGAATAGTGCCGAAAACAACGCGAGCACATGTCTGCACCACAAGCCATGCCACCGGTCGCTCCAGCATTGTGTGTGTCGGTGACACGTGCCGAGGCCTGCGCCTTGTCGGTGACACATGCCGAGGCCTGCGCCTTGTCGGGACAGGAGGGATCACGCGGAACGAGCGCGATCTAGCGCGACCGGCCTGCCATGAACGGCACGGGCAGCGCTTGGTGCCGTCATCTGGCGATGTGTTCGGACGGTACCTGACCGTGGTCGGACTTCGCGGCTCACGAACACATCACGACCGGGCCGGCCGCACCCAGCCCTCCGTCCATCCGTCCGCTGGCGGGGGCTCGGACGGAGCCAGTAGGCAACCAACAGGGCCGAAGTCTGACGCCGGCGAGCCGGCCTGCTTCGCTGGCGTGCGCACCGGGCATCCGGGCATATTACTCGCTGTTGAGCATGCTACGTTCTATGTTTGCCAGCAACCACCCCTTTCCTGGCAATTTGCAAGTTTTCCTGAAATAACTGAATGAATTAAATAGACAACGCAGTTGTTCCATCGTACATACGTAAGCGTACATTCACGACGGACAACAGCTCATAGCAACGTAAAAACTATCACATCCTTAACAGCAGGTGATGAACTCTACTTGGGCAGTGAGCGACTGAAGAAGACTGTATGCGACCTCGACAGTGTGTGACTGAAGAAAGCTATATGCGACCTATTGCCAAACAATGCGTTAACAATATGTTACCTGGCAGACAGACACCAACGTGGTTGGACAGCGGCACGAGACACGAAGCCAACAGTGAGAGGCGACCCTGCGGCACGAGACACGAAGCCGACAGTGAGAAGCGACCCTGCGGCACGAGGCACGAAGCCGACAGTGAGAGGCGACTCTGTGGCACGAGACACGAAGCCGACAGCGAGAGGCGACCCTGCGGCACGAGACACGAAGCCGACAGTGAGAGGCGACTCTGCGACACGAGACATGAAGCCGACAGTGAGAGGCGACTCTGCGGCACGGGACACGAAGCCGACAGTGAGGGGCGACCCTGCCGCCAGTCGACTCGGCGCGAGTGGCAGGAGTGAGTGCACTGTTGTCGAGAGCGCACCGGGTCAGCGGCGCAGCAGGCGAGTGGCGGCGCCTCTCCAGCAGCCTCAGTGGCCACTGACGCCGTTCGATACGCCACTGGCAACGCCGTTGGAGGCGGCCGCCGCCTGGTCGGTGGTAGCCGCCGTCCCGGCGTCGCAGTCGTCCTGGCAGCCGCGCGGGTTCATGGTCCGCCAGCGCCACATGTCCCGACCTGCGGGGAACCCGGCCGGCCAGGCCCGCCGCCGGCAGCCGACGGCGGGCCTGTTGGCATTCAGTTGGCATTGTGTCCACCCTAAGCATGAGGCCGACAGAAATGCGAGACGCATTCACTTATCTATCCATACGTGCTACCCACAGTAGCATTAACGACGCGCCGGTCTCGTCGTGCTGGACATTGCATTCTATGGCATATGCCAAATGAACATGACAGTTTAACTCATGACATGTTTCAATGAGCTCAAGTTCCAACAAGTAATAAGAGCATAAGATCGCAAAGCGTTCTGAGTAGGTTAGGGTTCCTACGCTTGTGACATTGATGCTTGGAATGGGCACAGCTACCTTGTCGAATACTGCGTTGGCTTTCTCGGCATCGAGCATGTCGCATTGTTAGGTGAGCTTGCCAGTGATTTCTTCCACCCGCTTCAAAGCTGGAACCTTCCCCGCGCCCGTGTGCCTGTACGACGAGTCAACGGGAGGCATATGAGGGGGGCACTCTCAACACAGACAGAGGGGCTCCTGCAGCGGTGCGTCTGCACGACCTGATGGGGGGAGGGAGGGCTCTCAGGACAGGTAGAGGAGGGTCTCTCCTGCAGTGGTGCGTATGCACGCCTAGACAGGGCATCAGTCGTCCTCGGTACAGAGAAAACGCGATGATCCCAATCACTGGCGAGTCCATCAGGGAGGAGGGGAGGCAGATCAACATTTGCATGTCGATAGGGGCCGAGCAGGATTAGTAAGGTTGTCAGGTATTAAGGTCGCACCCAGCGCTGAACAATTTTGCTTGGGCACGCTCACAACTTCAATACAATATTTTCTGGTGCGCAAAAAGGGTGCAAAAATAGTGGAATACAATGTGCGGCACTGTGTGAGCTTCCAGACACAGAGGCAGAGCTTTACAACGCACTTGAACGTGAAATGCTGGCCAAATTCACACCCTCAGCAGTGTCGGCCGTTACAATGCACACTTTACCAGCATAAGGTGATATTTCGGGTCGTGAGTACTTCCTGATCCATTCTTGAATGCGGATAAAGCAAATCCCTTCGCATACCGCTCTTCTCGACAGCTGCACCAAGACAACATCGCATGTGTGCCATTGTGGACGCGTCGGCTGCAGACGCCGGCACAAATACAGACACGGGCGGAACAAGGACCGGCAAAAACGGCTACAAAGCCTGCTATGTCTACGATAATCCACTCGTATGCAAGAATCGGCCGTGCAATACAATATCTTGGCACATTCGATGCAAACCAACGTCGGCTGTCACCGGCATCAACGAAATGTGGCTGAGATTCCAGCAAATATCAAAATGTACAGGTACACAACTGAAAGCAATCAACGTAAGCTTCTACTTCGACGAAAGTCGCTGGTAAGAGAGCTGGCTAAAACTGGTATAAACAAATGAACATATATATGCATATGTATGTATATATATATATATATATATATATATATATATATATATATATATATATATATATATATATATATATATGTGTGTGTGTGTGTGTGTGTGTGTGTGTGTGTATACATATCAGGATTATGGGGCCTTTCCGTGGGGCGGGGCCTCATTTCGTTTTATGCTTGACGTCGAGAGGTTACCTGGTTCGATGAGGGCGGACTGATGTTGCCGTTACAATTAATTTTAACTATAATGCTGTTGCCGCTACAACTTATCCACGCAATGACAAGCGGCCTCAAGTGTTGCGCCTGTAAATATCTCACTGCTGGACCTTTGTGCAAGGCACCATTCACAATCTCGGGCTGACACTGCAAATGATGGGCCCCACAGCTCAGCCGCTGCGTGAATCCATATTACACTGAGCACCAATGATGACCTGACTGCGTGGGAGCAGGGAGCGCGCACTGACCCGGAACGCAAACAGCGCCACTGCAGGTACCGTCCGGCGGCAAACAACGGTACAAGGTGTGCTAGGCCGAGGCAACAAACGAGGCCACAAACGACTCTTTCGCTCTTGACCCCGGATATATCGACTGCACGCACTGCTCCTGACAGCCTTGGAACTGGACCGCGGTGCGCGACCCAAAAACATCAGTTTATAATCTACCGTTAGGTTACTACGAAGTGAAACGTCCACAGCCATTAAGGCGAGCTAACTAAAGGTACCGCTTGCGAAGTATGAACCGGCTGCTCGCTCGTGCAAAAAATAATATTCGTGTTAGTAATCGCCGTCCACAATGTTTTTCCAAAGGTTCAATTGATGATTTAGATATGTGTGCATATATGTGTGCATGAATAATATCAATGCATATATATATATATATATATATATATATATATATATATATATATATGCGTGTGTGTGTGTGTGTGTGCGTGTGTGTGTGTTGTACTGCCTTAGTGATCCAGATCATATCGCACACGACATGTGCCGCAACCGAAGGCAGTCTCGGCAATCGGTCGGTCCACAATGTTGACGGGCCGGGCGGCGAAAGTGATGCCGTTTCCACGCTTCACCCGACAGTGTCGTGACAGTGACGACGACAATGACGACAGTGTCGTCACGGAAGACTGAGAGGGAGAGTGCGTGCACGTGGCCGACGGCCGCATTACAGAGAGTAGTGTTTCACGTAGCTTGCAGGGTCCGGCGCAATGCTCCGCTGGGCGGGAAGGCGCTGTGCCATTGCCCGACGTCTGCAGCCACAGCGTGACGTCACCGCACAGCTCGGGTCCGTATCATATTGTCCAAGGTACAGAATGTCCAAAGGTACAGAATGTCCAAGGTACAGAATATCCAAAGTACAGAATGTACAAGGTACACAACGTTCAAGATGAGAAATAACTTCCAAAATGGCGCAGAGTGGAAGGGACCCGTTTCATATTGCCCAATGCATAGAGTGTCCAAGGTACAGAATGTCCAAAGTACAGAATGCCCAATGTACGTATTGTCCAAGGTACAGAATGTCCAAAGACCAAAGCTTCCAAACTAGTTCCTACAGCGGCCGCCAGGGTATGAATGATCGCCCCTATTGGCAGGCAGCGTTGCCCCGCCCGGCGCCGGCCGCGCGCATACATTCGACACCATTACGAAGACCACGTGCGTGAGGCTGGCTGGCCGGATTGCTAGCTTAGTAACAGATCCATGTCCGCTCCACGACGCAATGGGGCCGGCTGGAGGTGTCGCGCCGAGCATTGGTCGCTGATTGTAAAAGCTGAGTCCGGTAAGGTTTGCCTCCGTTCTAGGCTGCTAAAAAGCATTGAAAGCAGGCGGAATATGAAACGGAATTATAGCCGCGCTATGCCCGAAAATATAATTGTCGAAATCGG